ATGTAAATAGGGTATGGAAAACCCACTGTGTAAACCCAACTTGTAATGTTATCTCTATTGATAGTAATATAACAAGGAAAATACAGAACGTTCTAGATTATTTATATTGTAAACAAATCAATACGACGAGTATCTTTTTGTACATAATTTTAATTGTTACCCGTTAGTTGGTAAAATTAAAACCACATACTCAGAGAGATAACTTCGACGCATAGCTATATAGATAACCCCCGGCCCGTCACTTGATAAATATAATTTTATAACAAACAAGCACATTGTCACCTAGTAGTATAGGAACAGGACAGGATGTGATGATTTTTTATAATTTGGTAAATTTTTTAATGTTCAAAACGTTCTATTTACTAAATAAAATTACAATAAGGTAGTTAGAATTGTATCGACCACAGGTCACTGACTTTGGAAAGGTTTTTGAAAAAATGTTTAAATATTAACAAAAAATAGATAAAACATATAAGATGTAAAAAAAATGATGCTGATTTTCCAGTCTTTTTTTACTTATAAATTTATGTGTCGGCTTTATCTACTGTTGTGGGGTAAAAAGACCATGTATTGTATACCTCATGCATGACCTTAAAGAAGCTCCAGATTTCATTTTCATACATAATTCTAGTAGTGTAATGTAAAGTCCTTGAACTGAACTTTGTTTAGGTGATTCAATATTTAGAATATACAGGAAGATAATTAAGATATTTCAAAAAATATGTGATTTAGTGTCGGAGAATTCTCTCCAACCAGTATTGATATCAATTTAGAAGACATTGATAACAAATAGAAATTGAAAACAAATGTTAAATTTTAGTTTTTCCACTTCGATAAAATAGAACCATTACTGTCATGCAGATTGAATATAGACTAACCTAAATTTTGTCTTTTTCTTAACAGACATTTTATAATTGTCTGCATTTCAGCACAATATTTGAAATACATAAAATAATCAGTTCAATGTGATATCGAATTGGTTTTTGTTTTCATTTAAGCATTTACAGATCGAAAGTGCTGACTTATGTCATTACAAACGGTTGCGTAAATTATCTTGACATTAAAATTACCATTCAATTTTAGAATGAATTTTGCTCCTCAGAATACATATAGAAAGGTATGCCATTGTTTTTGATTTAGAGGATGAGTAGCCGCCATGGCTTTTTTAGACCGAAACAACATCTATGTAAAATCATTTTATAAAATCAGACTAGAGGATTTCAAATGCATATGTATGTTCAAGATTTGTAGATTTACGCAAAAATATCTTAAAGTCACTAGCTATTATGAAGAACATTTATGTTTAAAGTAACTAAATTTCTTTGCATTAGTAATGACGCCCATTTTTTATGGTTTTAAATCGTAAATCTGATGCTCAAATGAAGATTTGTCAATATTGTAATATTCAAAAAGCATTATTTGTGAAGATATTACCGAATTTTACATTTCATGTAAATAAAGGGAGGCAATTAGAAATTATATCGATAAAGTCTACACCAGTTTTTTTTCTTTCTTTTTTTTCTTTCTTTTTTCCCCCAATAAAACTGAATGCATTAATTATAACGTTTAATCTGCAGCTTGGGATTGCGAAAAAATAAACAAAGTCCAGAACTTAAACTGCGGACCAGCTAATGTGAAGGGGAGTGGCCCTACGAGACGAGGATGGTGTGCTTGGGTGCGTGAGCCCCTAGCACAGATAAGACGGCTTGTAAGGCAGGCATTTTGCTTGGCACCAACAGCCCTTTTAAGGTCTACCTCCTTTCATTATTTCTCAGGTTACTGTACATTTAGGTTCTCATTGACCGTCTTACAGTGATTTACTTTTGGCTTAAAATTCATATCTTTGACCAATACTCCGTGGAAATTGCATGGAGGTAAATTACGAAATTCAAGACTGAAGATTACACATTACATAACTTTATCAAACAGTATATATAGTTTTTTATGTTTTTAATGTCACCGTCTCTTTTAGCCACATGCGTTGACAGCATTCTTCATATAGACAAGTTATGTCATGGTAACAGGTTTTTCAAGTCTTTAGAAATTATATTTGACTTTTTAGCGATAAATCAAAAGAAGTTTGCAATACAAAGCACATGATCATAGCTATGAACGCATTCATGTTTGTTTATTTGTTTGTTTGAGTGAGCTGGAACGCGTACAAGTTTATCTGATGTTTTGGTGTAGAAATAGTTCCTTAGGTGCACCGGAAATAAAATCTTGTAAACAAACCCAACCTTTTTAAAAGACAATAAAGAAATTCATTGCTCTTCTTTCAATTTCTCGGTATTTTTACGTGTATTAATTATGTTAAATTTACTATTCAGTACCATAATGTTCATACTTGTTTTCAGACAGTTACATGCTTGAACTTTATATAAAACATCTAGAACATTTGCAATAAATGTCAATGGTTAAATATAGATAAACCACTAAGCTTGAAATATGTCATTTAATATTGATAATGTTAATAGGGTATGGAAACCCCACTGTGTAAACCCAACTCTATTCATAGTAATAAATACAGTAGAGTGCAAATAAACGGTATAGCTTATTTATATTGTCCAAAAAAAATGAATACGACAGTATCTTTATTGTACATAATTTTCATTATTACCGTTAGTTGGTAAAAAAAACACATATCAATATCAATTTAAGAGACATTGATGAGAAATAGAAATTGAAAATATCTGTAAAGTTTTAGTTTTTCCACTCCGAGATAATAGAACCATTCCTGACATGCAGATTGAATATAGATTAACGTAATGTTTAATTATTTTTGTTCTTAACAGATATTTAAAATTTATTTTGATTTTATAATTGTCTGCATGTCAGCAAAATGTTTGAAATACATGAAAGAATCAGTTCCATGTGATATCGAACTGGCTTTTGTATTAATTTAACCATTTGAAGATCAGAATTCTGATTTATGTAATTACAAACGGCTTAAATCATGTCTTTGCTACGAAAATTATCTTGACATTTTAATAACCATGCAATTTCAGAATGTAGTTTTACTTATAAATTCATCCCCTCAGAATACATATAGAAAGGTATGTCACTAAAAACATTCCTTTGCCAATGCTGTATTGTTTTGGATTCAGAGGATGAGCAGCCCAACAAATTGTGCACAAGGGCTTTTTATTGTATAGAAGATGGTCGCCCGACAGACATCTGTGTAATATCAGTTTATAAAATCAGACTAGAGGATGAGTATCATTTCATATGTGTACAAATGTATGCTCAAGATTTGTAGATTTACGCTTAAAATATCTTAAAGTTTCTATTACAAAGAACATTCATGTTTAAAGCTACTGAATTGCTTTGTAGTAGTAATAAAGAAGTACATGTACATTTTAATAAAGTCGCACATTTTTATGGTTTTAAATCGTAAATCAGATGCTCAATGAAGATTTATCAATGTTGTAATTTTCAAAATGCATTATTTGTGAAGATATTACCGAATTTTACATTTCATGTAAATAAAGGGAGGCAATTAGAAATTTATTTTCGATAAGGTCTACATCAGTTGTTTTCCCAATACCATGAATGCATTAATTATAACGCTTAACTATAATGTATATAAACATTTGCTGTACTTGTTTAACATATTCTTGGATGTTTGGAATTTTTTTTTGAAGAATAATTATTTACATATATAAAACTTCATTTAATTGTATGTTACCTAGTTAGCTATAGGTCACATAGCTGGTGTGACCTAACCAACGGCAGAGGGTGTACGTGGCTCTACATAGTGCTTTTGCCTCCAGGAAGAGGTGCCTTTTCTTCAAGATGCGAAGAACTTGGACCTAGGGAAGATCTCTGCGACGAAAGACGGCTTGAGAAGACCTCCGTTGCGTCTCTATGATCAGCGACATTGAAGTCGAAGTAAGTCCTCCGCGGCAGGCTCTAGATCAGCGACGTAACAGAGGCCAATAGTCTGGGACATATGGCATAGACGGCGCCCAGTATTAACAAAACTAAAATCATCTCACTATGTTACATCCTCTTCTCTCTTCCCTTCGGAGCGTGCACGTCGCTGATAAGGCAAAGAGCATCGGCAGAAGATTTGAAGACCTTGTTATGGCGAAAAATAAACAAAGTCCAGAACTGCGATTTATAGCTAGGTGCCAGTGTCCTGACAAATACCGAGGGTAGTGGCCCTACGATGTAGGCAGAGACAACGAGGGTGGTGTTTAGGGTTTGTGATTCCTAAAACAGATACATGTAGACGGCACAGAAAGGCGGCTTTTGATACAGGTCCTTTGCTTGGCACCAACAGCCCTTTTAAAGGCTACCTCCTTTCATCATTGTCTCAGGTTTAAATATTGTACATTTACGTTCTCATTGACCGCTATAGTGACTTACTTTCGGCTTAAAATTCATATCTTTGGCCAATACTCCGTGGAAATTGCATGGAGGTAAATTATCACCACATTAAACTTTTATATAAGGACATGACTGGTGACATGTCCGGGGTCCATACTCGTCAGCGAAAGCTGCATTTTATGCTTTTCGGGCAGATGGACCCTCATTTTAAACATACATGTAGACTACAAAAATACATGTACGTCTTTAATAAATGTATGCAAATATGATAAAGAAGCTTTGAAACTGAAGGAAACATAGTTTTGCACACTCAATTGTTGTATATATATCCCCTTACATTTTTAGTGCTTTTTAATTTTAAGCTATATATTATTATAAACACTTGCCATACATATTTTTTATTGATTATGTTACATATCTTTATTCCTTGTTAACAAGAAGATTTACATTTGTATAAGTCTAGGGTTCTGTAATTTTCTTAAATAGCTAAGCACTGAGTTTAATCTTTGAATTTGTAACGTTACTCTAAGCTGGGATTTAATTAAATGACAATAGTCTCAGTAATCCAGACCTCAGCGCTATTACCTATACATTGTATTTTTTACACTTCAAACACTTCAATCGTATTGATTTATTATGAAATTAAGCTAGACCAGTTGAAAATTCTGTAGGCCTAATTTCCGCTCAGCAAGACACATCCGGCATGGTACGTGTGGAGTTCAGAATTTAGCTAAATGATAAGATCTTCACCAAGGAGGTAAACAGATTTTTTGCAGACATACAAACCAACATCCAATCCAACTGCTTTTTGGATTAAGGTAAAGTAAATTGCAACTTTTGCGCTATCATTTTTGTATATTTTCTATCAGAGTTGATTGCAATAATGTCTGAAATATGTAAATATTAATACAATCATGTTGAAAGCTGAGTTTCCCCGAGTTGACTCCACTTCTCCAGACGTTGGGAACTTGACTGGTGTGTCAGACAAGTCCAACATGTGGAAGTGATTATATCAATATTTTATCATACCTTGTAATAAGATAACTTAGATAAGGGCAATGAGGGTTGGCAATCTAGCCATTTAAGAGTGTATATCGACAAGTTAGTGTGTTGTTGGTGGCAAACAGAGTGATTTTTTTTTTGGATTTGCATATAAATCTGAGTGTGACTATTTGAGTATTTCTCATATTCTGTATGTCAGGTACATTTGCATTATATTTTTATTCAATGGAAAAAAAATAGAATAACAGAGGAACATCATTGACATTGTCACAAGTGTGAGATTGCAGGCAGTTACTGTTAATTTATATCATGGAACAAACATGAATGGGGATAAGCACAGCATCATTTTCTTGACAAATCAGGCAAATCCGAGGCATTTTGTAAAATCAGGAAGCAAGTGGAATACTTGTCAAAATTGAAATTCAATATTTTCTTGAGAGTTGTCATTAAGATTTTCTGAGACAGTCATTTTATTGGTTTTGAGGCGGTTAGTTTTTTGTTATACCTCACAGTGTTTTTTAAGTTTTTAGGCAGCTCAGAATGCATTTGAGACAGTTATTTTGGCATACAGCTGCCTCCTAATGATGACCCTATGAAAAATTAATTTATTGAGATAAACTCAAATTTGGTTATCACCAAAAGGGTGAGTACCCTTGATACGTATATAACAATCCATACTGCAACACATGACATGTTATTACAATGCTTGTTTTTGACATGACCACTTGTGGTGGCGTCCTTTGCCGGGTAGTTAAGGTCATTTTAAATATTTCAAACCATTTGCCTCTCAATGCTGTAGATTTGAGCTGTGGCAGCATCTGATGAATCTTCATCCAGCTAACTTATTGAACATCTGTGGTTCTTCTCAGGTGCCCGTTTGTGCCTGAAATAACACATTGAAGGGCAACTGAGTTCTTCTTCCGCAAGTAAAGCTGTAAAGTCGCCATATGACCTTAACTGTCAAATTAAACCCAACAAAAAACAAAAGAAAAATATGACCTATGATTCCTCACACAAAATTATATGACTTCATTGACTTGTAACACAGATCACATCGACAAGTTTTTTTCCTTGGATGAATATTTGATCTACTATCCTTGTCATAATTATCTCACTTGCCGTGAATTCTCACCAAGAAAATATGTCAATTCAGTGTCTTCAAAATTAACAAAATCTGCTTTGCAAATGTCCTAGAACTGTGTAAATGACCAAATGCGAAACAATATAAATATAAAGAGAAAAGAAACAATTCAAGTTGAATTTAAGGAATTTAAGAGTTTTTTTTGATATGACAGGTGGAAATATGAGAGATGTATTGATGTTGGTCTGGGCAAATTTGTGTCTACATTTTCAGATCATTACTTCACCCAGTTTTTCAGACTAATCTTTTTTATGGCGCAAAAGGACCCAAACATGGTTGATACATGTAGCTATGACAACATATAATTGAATCATGCTCTCTTTTTCATTAACTTTTTGAACAACTTTATAGTGATCTAAATTCTCATTTCAGCCAGATTTCACCAGTTTCAAGTATATAGTGATATGTAAAGATGGAAACAAAGAAAGTGAAGTGGACAGCCATTGTCATTACAAGTCCTAATAAAGAGTGGTCACATACCTTACAAAGAGGTAAATACACTTTAATATCAAGTTTATTTTTCTTTCAAACTAGATTTTCTTGATTACTGATGTGCTGTCATTTTAAGTTCATGGTCCATTAACTACAAAATTATCATTATGTATTTACATTAGAAATAAAATTTGCATCAAATATAAAAAAAGCAGAAATTTGTTTACAATGCTATTTAATATAAAGAAATTTATACAGTATGACTATTCTGTAAAGAGAACAGTTACTTTTTTGGTCGTCAGTGGCCAAGTGGTTAACATGAACTTCAAACCACTTGCCCCTCACTGCTGAAGGTTTAAATTTAAAAAAGGAACTTTAATTTCTTTCATGTGAGGAAGATATCCAGCTAGGTTAAGGAGCGTTGGTGGTTCTTCTCAGGCGCTGGCTGGCTTGTGCCCTAATTAATGCACAGAATGGCACCTGAGGTCTTTCCCAGCCAATAAAGCTGGAAAGTTACAATATAACAGCTACTGAGGTGGTGTGACATAACCCCCCCCCCTCCTCCCAAAAAGAAAAAAAAAGGCAATTTATTTGTAATTATTCTTTTATGTGGTTCTATCTTAAACAAAGACAAATTAATAAGAAAACTGTATTGCCGTAATATATTGAGAATGAATGGAGAACATCACCAGAATTAATCATAAGGTTTGAAGAATGAATCATAAAAATGTATTGAAGTTTACAGTTTACAAAATATATATATTGTTATTTCAGAGTTGGAGTTACGTCAGGCTAAAGGCTACATAGATAAAGAAGCATTTCTATTGGCTGTAGAAGATCCAAAAGCTTATGTTGGAAGTGGTGGGGCAACAATCAATGCACTCCTTACTGTCACAGAGTATATAAGTGCACAGAAAGGATATTCTGTAGGTTTTACCCTTCCTAAGTGTTGATTGTAATGATTTATAGGCTCAAATTTAACACTCACAAACTACCAATGCAAGTCAAAAAAAGAAAAAAAAGTATAATTTTTCCTAACATTCACAAAGAGCTAGGTTCACTAACCACCGAAAATGGCCCAACCTCAGAAATAGATGAAAAACATTTTAATTAGAGGTTCAATATATCTAGTTGATGAAAGAAACATTTTTTAACAAAAATTATTAACGATGACGTCGAAATTTTCTCTTAATCATTAACGCCCGTTAATCCAGTTAATATCGGAATCAAACGTTTATTGATCTCGCAAAATGAAAATAACGTCTACTGTATTTAATGTTTATTTTCCCTTTAAGAATAATTCTTACCAAACTAATTAGCTTTTATGAAATTAACTGTATTAATTAAATGTTTTCCAAGAATAAAGCATTTTTTAAGCAGTTAACCAATTTTCGGATATACAAAATTCGGACAATGTTATTTCTTGAAAAATATAAGTTTTGCGCTTTTAAAATTTGAATATGAATTGAATGACCATTAGATTTACAAAATTACTTAAGAAGAATTGATAACGAAATAAATAAAACTAGTTGCAGGAATAGTCAATAAGTATAATATTCATAAATATCACATATTTAACATAATAAATATAAACATAATGAATAAAACAAAATGATTTGGTTATGATGCTTGCAAAGTAAAATACAAACATAGCGTAAATAACATAATAATTAATGTGAACATTGCTTTTTAAATAAAGGGTAAGAAAATAAAATCGATATCTAAATGAGTCGTGTCACGACAAAACCAACAAAATGGGTTTGTAACCAGCATGGATCCAGACCAGCCTGCGCATCCGCGCAGTCTGATCAGGGGATCCATGCTGTTCGCTATTAGTTTCTCTACTTGTAATAGGGTTGGTAAGCGAACAGCATGGATCCTGATCAGACTGCGCGGATGCGCAGGCTGGTCTGGATCCATGCTGGTTGCAAACCCATTATGTTGGTTTTGTCGTGACACGGCTCAAATAATTGTTCTTGAATCTGAACAATTATTATATATATCAACAATCAACAAGCTACAAAAATATATGACAACTTTTTAAAGAAAATTTATAAGATCTCGCTTGAAACTTAACCACAAGCAATTGAATTAGATATATTGAACAAATATGTGAAAAATTCAACAGTTGTTATTCAGCATCATAACACCATAAAGATAGAATGTCGGTATCAGTTCTTACACCATGTTTTTATCTCTGTGTAAATAAATAATGTAATAATATTGCTTGATATTTACTTTAAAAAACGAAAAAGTTAATAAAAATGAAAGTTGTTGTATCAGCATTGTTTTATGGTAATGGGGTAAACAACGTCGCACGATATATCAGTCTGTATCACTGCCAGATGATTCGTCAATTGCCACGTCGATTTTAAATTCAGCGGCGTCTGAAAGGTGTACACCCCAATCACGGACACCATAACTTTCTCTCCCGCTATGACGTCCGTTGGACAGATACCACACTATGGCAGCAATATGGGCACACATCCCAACTACTCTTGAGCCGCACCTGCAAGTGCAATACCATCCATCTACTGCCTCGTTTTCAACTTGAATCCAAAGCATATATCTTTTTGATGAAGAGCGTCTGCTTTGCATCTTAACACAAAGTAGTTTTGGATCATCTGTGTTGACTGTAGAAATAAATGTTTAAATATCAATTGTTTAGGTTTTGATGGGATTTTACTAGATTCTTTATAATACTGCACGTTTGTAACGTCGCTTTTCATTGACTACTCATGACGTTTATATAGTTTTATATACGCGGCTGCTGAAGATTTATAAAGAAATCTCTTTATTCCTCTACAAATGATGCTTGCTGTATTATAAATTCGATGTTAATATTACTGACAAAGTATACTGCCTATATAATTGGTTATTTGCAATATAACCATCGCCTAGCGGCTCGGGTTATATTTACACACAACCGTTTATATAGGGCCATATAACCTGTCAAAATCTTAATAACTAATAATATATATGAAAAGTGAGTTGAGAAATGAGCACCAAAATAATAATTTTTAAACTAGATAACTAACAAAGCGTACTTTTTAAGAAGTCATTTGTAAACAGGTATATGAAGTCAAAATAGGATACACAGAAGATAGGACATTACCGTGTATAATACATTTAATTTATAAAAGAAGACTAACCTTCCTACCATTTTGCTGATATTGACATATATATTTAAATGTATACATTATGTGACTTTTTACCTTTAATGTCGAACTCTCCGTCTAAATGTTCTTGAATGTATGATGGTGACAGACTCAATTGATAAACTCCCAGTGTCAGCTCACTCAGTTGTTCACTGTTTAGAACTGGGAAATATATGTCTTCTTCATCGACATTGTTCCACACTGTCTGTTTTCTATCTAAACCTGTCTTCTCTACTTTTTCTGAAGCTCATTTTCCCTTTCTAACAATCTTACCATTTTTGCTGCCACAGCAACATCACTCTCTGACTGGTCAGTGCTACTGAGTGGGGGAAAGTATTTGTTCGAGATGGAACAAACGATGCGTACAAAGTCGCCAATGAATGGTATTTGGCTATTTGGCATCACATTGTCTAAGTACTTGAAACGCTTGATCCGCGCGTTTGCTGACTCAACAACCCACCTTCTCTGAAAATAGACAAAACAAATGAAAAAGGTCATACACCTTAATAAATTAAAATTAGATTAATTTATACTTTGCATTTTAACACGATGAAGCCATTGTAAATTATCCTAAATATTGATAGATTAATTCACTGTTTAATTAATTCACGGTTAATATAAAATAACAGTTATTTTATGAATATCCGATTGCAATAGAAAAAAAGAAACATATCACATTTTAATACTACTCAGTGTAATTTCGTGGATAAATTGCATTAATATTTACCAGTTTTGAAAACAATATTCAAACTCAAATTTCATTTTCATCCATATACAGTTAAACCTGTGTAAGAAATTAATATAAAAAAAAGATCACCCTGAAAATAAAGGCTTTAACAACCTCTACTGGTTAAAAAAGCTGAGTTACCTCTACATAACGACAACTCGTCTATAAAGACCATGTCTCTCACTAGATAGTCTTTGTTCACATGTTTGACTGTATACATGTATATTTCTAAATATATTACATATTTCAGGAACATTTATATATTTAAAAGTATTTAATAGTCAATACCTTACCTTTGTGACTAAACGACTTTCATTTGCCTCATCAGATTGAAGCTGCTTCTGTCCCTTTGTCATTAATGCTGGCATCTTTGCATGTATGCCTAAGTCTTCCAGTAGCTCTAGAGAGTCACTGAACCCGCGATCCACTACCAGCACATCTCCTTCTTCAAGGAAATCCTTCACATCATCTATGTTTGACTTGAGGATGTGGTTAAGGATGGCTGCATCATTGTTCTTTCCATCAGCAAGGTAGGGACCAATTATGTTCACGAAATGTCCTGTGGTTGTAACAATGACCATTGGCTTTACGAGAGGTCGACCTTTGTGAAGACTGTATGTTCTTCTTTGAAACTTGTAATTGTTCGATTTATTGATGTAAATGTATGTGCCATCAAGAACCAAAACAATTTTATCAGAAGAAGAACAAAATAGGGATTTAGCTAACTGTCGTGTATGGTTGCATAGTATTGATTCCCTTGTCACACTCTCAAATCCAAGGTAGAGCGGCACGAAACTTCTCATCAGGGCCTCTCTTACAGTGGCAATGGCACGTCTAACACTGACTTTGAAAGGCTGAAGATAGTTGAAAGAAGCCTGTTAGAAATGCCTGACTTTAACTTAAGGAGAAACAGTCCAACAGTTGTTCTAGGTGATCGTGACGGTGTTGATTTTATCTTATCATTGATGTGGGAGAATAGGTCATTAAATTGTGGTTTTGAAAGTCCTGTAAGTGAAGAGTAGTCTGCTTCTTGAAGAGTGTCAAAGTTCAGAGAAGAATTCTGTTGAATGCATAAAGATCGCATATTCTGAAGGAGATTAGAAATAGATGACCTGTTCAGATATGAAGATGCGTTGAGGTGATCAATGCCTTCCACAGAATCTATCTTTAGTGTTTTATCTGAAACGTGTACTGGACAACATCTGGCATCTGAATGAACTATGATATTGTGCTGAAGAAATGCTTGAAGTCGACACTCTGAACCCAGACGAACAAGTTTTGGACCAGCTTTTTTGCAAACAAAACATCTTGAATGGCTCCTGCTTGTTGATGGGATTTTAAAAACTACCTAAAATAGTAAATTATTTCTATATTTACCTTTAGCCTGCCGTGTGCAACATAATCTACCCATGTGATCAGTGCAGACCAAGATCAGCCGGCACATCCATGTCGCCTGATCATGGTCTGCACTGTTCGCTATTCATTCAGAAAATATTTTAATTTTTCCCCCAAAAATGATCAATGGTTTTGTCCAGATTTAAAAATGGACAAGTTCATTTGAAATGTTTAGCGTGGTAAGGGTTAATCGCCAATTCAACAAAACCACCAAGATCTATCATAAATGAAAGTTTACATATTTAATGAAGTTACAATGTAAGAACACAAATTGTCCCAAACTTTCTGTCATTTGTTTAAAATTAATATTACGTACATCATGTTTAATATTTAAATAATGCTTTTTCATTTGTAAAAAAAATCATATAGGTTGATTTATTCTTATCTAATGTTTACAAAATTATAATGCAATTTATTACAAAAATAAACTTACCGATGGAGGACTGATAAGCTGACTTGTTGATGGCTGTGGCACACTGACTGTATCTTTTATTTTCTTCTGCCTACTCCGGTAAAGTTTTGTCCGGCATGAAGGGCATATCACGTCATCATCACAGGGAAGAACAGATAGAATCTTTCTTAGTAACTTTTTTGCTTTGTCAGGAATGGGACGTCTTCCAGAGGGTTTTATTCTTTTTTTACACACAACGCATTCATAATGTTTAACCATCCTAAAAAAAAACAATTATTCAAGTCTTGTTGATTTTGAAGGGATTTTCATACTTGAATATATTATACAATATAATTTAAAACATTTCTATAATATATAGATCTATATCTTATAAAAAAAAATTTGTTTAAAAAAAAAATGTCGGTAGTTGGATTCGAACCCAGATCTCCTGCATGGGAATCCATCGCCTCTTCCTCTCTCCCACTGCGGCTTTCACTCTCGAGCGGAACAGTTTTATGTCTATAACATTAATCGAGTAAGAAATTTTTAATGCAGACGACCACAATTTAAAACATTCACATAATTTAATCGATGGAAACTTACTAATTACATATGCATACAATTTCTGATTTTTACTATAGCTGTTTCTAAATATACACTCTACTAATTCAATTCTAGGCTAAAATTCACCGTCGTTGATGATATTTCCATTCGACTTGTTTTTTCAGTCATCATTCGGCATACGATTTTTTATTATTCAATGGTAGTCTAGATCTAAATTAAGTAAAATAAAGTAATAATAAATCAGTAGTGTTTTATTGTAAGAGCATGTGACATAACTCCTTTTACAGGGAAACAAATACCTGAAAAATATCGGTTTATTGCGGTCTCTATGTCATGTTGTTTACATTACCAGCGCTGTGTTTCGTACCCACTGCAATTCGTTCCAAAACGTCGCGTTAATAAATGATAATCGTTTGTTGTTTTGTTTGTGATTCCAAAGGTTCGCATTCACTTTGAAATATCTCCTTTAAATTTTTTCTTATATAATTTGCTTATCAATAACGTTATTTGTTACGAAAATTATAGGAAATATTGGTTTTTAAATCGATATTTGGCCTTTGATAAATAACAAAGGGTCTCACACTTTCTCATTTTATAATATGAGCACACGCGTGTTCCACAAAATAACTATTATTTATTTAAAGATAATTGAATAACAAATCGATTTAAGCTGGAATAAAGGTGGAACAAACGTGCGCTCATACTGGGACACTGAAAAATTCCCTATCATAGCACTTAAATATTGCCATTTTGGCAAGAACAGGGTTCAAACAAAAATCATAAAAATCACTTTATACGATGATTTTTATGGAAGAAAATCAATTTCTGTATTTAATTGATGATGTTGATTAAAAACAAAACACAAAATATAGTTTTTCTGTAGTTTTTATTTTCCGTCAGTTTTGGGCCATTTTCGGTGGTTAGTGAACCTAGCTCTTTCTTCATCGTGGAAACCCACGGGTACTGATTTCACTGAATTACATTCATTAAGTGTATATGCAATGAGTATGTATGGGTTACCAAGGATGAAACTTCTTTTGCAAATGTTAAATTACAAGTCCTGTAAATTTATGCAAATGGGAGCAGAAAGTTGATGAACATTGATGTTACAGTACTTTTATATAAAAAAATGATGACTTTACATAAACTGTCCAATAATACTGATTATTAACTATTTTTCTTTAACCCATATTAGTAGACTCCAGCGTAATGAAGTTTTCATGCACCCCATGACTTGTAAATTATTATAATGACCTTTTTTTCTATACATAACAAGTAATTTTGATCTATGTATGTTTTTATGTCCCCCTCTTTAGTTCAGTTGAATTGAAGTGATCATTACTATACATTAGTGCATAATTGTTGGGGCAAGATATCTAAGAATGTATTAATAATTTTTCAGCTGGATAGGTTTTAAAATGATTCCATAGAAAATTTATATCAATTCTTAAAAAATTGAAGCAAAAATATTTATTTATTTTTCTGTATGTGTGTATGTTATAGAATTTTACTAAAACTATTTGAGTTGTTGTAATTAAATTTATATTTCAGGTTCTAACAACAGAAGTTTTACGTGATTCCAACATACTAATCTTACATAATGTGAGTTTGAAGTTTTATTTATAAGAGACTTTTAGTTTGGTTCTGTTTATTGATTAATCATTTTGTAGTGATTCTCTTTCATAATATTCAGTAGTCTATTATTCCATGGTGTATATGAATTTAAATTGGAACTCAGTTGTTAGAGACTGAATTGTAGAATTGTAAGAATACTCAGTTATAAAAGACTTAAATTATTAAATACTAGAGATTCAGTTATTAGAGACTCAATTATTATAGACTCAATTATTTGAGTACTTCGTTAGTAATGACACAATTGTTTAGAATTTGGTTATTTGAGACTCAATTTTTAGGAAACTGTTATTAGAGATAGCTTAATGATGTTGAATACTTTATTTTATTTATATTATTTTTCACGATAAACTTTGACTATTATATTCAAGTTTGTCGTATTTTCTGCATTAAAGGGACGGACATACGCATATGATGCTTGTGGGCGACCATTTACAACATTACCAGTGAAACTGAGCATTCAAGACCCTGATGGCTTGACTTGTATGATTGATGTGTTGGTCAAACTTATAACAGAAAAGGTAAATACTATTGTATGTACTACATAAATTGAGTGGTAAATAAAGATCATATGCAAATGTTGTGCAGTATTTGTAAAGCAACTGGTATTTGTTTTTATATTTCAAAGATATTTATTGAAAAAAATCATTAAAAAGGTCTATGAACTTATTTTAAAATCTTAGACTTGTATGGTTATATGTAAACAATCTTGTATGATTATATGTAAACAATCATATATGATTATATTTAAATGATCTTGTATGATTATATGTATATGGTCTTTGTATGATTAAATGAAACAAATATATGGTTATATGTAAAAAACATGATTATGTATAAAATGAAATAAAAAAAAACAACCCCTAAAAATATAATCATATCTTAAAACATGATGATTATATGTAAAAATAGCATGTGCTTACCAGTATATGTAAAATATATATTTGAAATATATTACATTGACTATTCAAGGAAAAGAGAGAGCTATTGTACTCACCTTGGGGTCGGCATTGGCTTCAGCATCTAACATTGTTTTAAGTTTTTGCATGCAAGTTGGTATCTCCAAAACTACATGTACTGAAGAGAGTGGGTTGAAACTTCACACATTTATTTTAGGGCATAAAAGAAGATAACTGTCCAAGGCACATAACTCTTACATGGATTTTGATGGAATTATGGTCTTTTATGAACTAAGAAAATTCTACATTATCTAGGCTTTTGTTTTACTATCTAAAAGTTAGAATAGTTGATCATGCTGTCCTACCGACAGCTCTTATCATGATAAGTTATGTATTTTCAGATAGCAGTGAAGGCTTCACCAGGTGTTTGGGTCAGCAGTACAGACATGATTCTAACAGTACCATATAATGCAGGTTATATTTTAGTCTATATCCCCTCACCTGAAACTTCCTAAGGTAGTGTGATTGTTAAACTATTGTGTTACTGAAAACGATTTCATAGAAATAATGCCAGTAAATTATTGTAATTTCAATTTCATTATCTTTCCGTGTGAACTGTATATATGTCTAAAACGTTTGTGTTGAAAGTAGTTTATAATCTTGACTTACATTCTCTATTCAATATTTAGATTGCTTGATGGATGGAAGTTATTTTTGAATCACTTTTTTCAATACAATTATATTTTATCAAATGATATGCAATCTATTAACGTGTTTATTGACATTGTAATTTTATGAAAAATACTTTTTTCTTTAGAAATACCATGGGAAGAGTGTAATGTTTGTGCTATAACTGTGCCATCTACACCAGGGTATTGCCGTCATCATGGAGTGTATAAACTCAATGATCAGGTATTTTTTAAAGTCTTAAATTGGTTTTAATAATGTGGTATAGGCATAATAATGGAATGAAAATACATGTGTAGAAAATAGGCTTTTAAATGTTTTTTGCACACCGGTTTTGTTAACATTTACACCTGACTATATAAATTTAGAAAAGATTACAATGGTGAAAAAGGATTTATTTTTGTTTAAATTGCTTTAATAGCATTCTTTTCCTGATTTTTCGTAATACTAGTATTTAAAATAAGCAATTATGTAATATTACTATATTTCAAGATATTAAATGATGCAGTTATACATGTGCTGATTGTACTGATTATAATTCAGAATTCAAAATAAAGAAGATGTAAGCCTGTTTCAGATGTCATCAAACTTTACCAACTGCTAAAACATTCTTGAATTTAAAGTAGCTACATTAACTGAAAAATGTTATTTATTTGCAGGGTTTTGTAGAAGATATTCTATATAAAGAGACTATAAAGAATCTTGATGTTTGTGAAAGAAAAGATGGGACAGTTCCTATGGTAACTAATATTAAATTTTCTTCATATATTTTTTTCCCTGTTTTATATTAAAAAAAAAAACTATAATAAAAAACAAAACTATTATAAAAAACATAGATTGTACTGACAGTTTTAAATCTTTGCATGTTAATGCATTTTTGTTCTTTTGAGAGCTTTTGTTTGAAGTATTGTGTTTTTAAAAGCCTTAAGATTGTTAGGTATGTTCCATTTTATATGTTTGTTGTACAAGTTTAGGTGTGTGCTATGGTGTATTTTTTGGAATAGTTTAACATGTGTTCTATGGTATACAATATATTGCTGTAGTAAAATTGTAGGTGTGTGCTATGGTAAATTTCTCTGGCATAATTGTAGGTGTGTGCTATGGTATATTTTTCTGGTATAATTGTAGATGTGTGCTATGGTATATTTTATGGTATAATGTTAGGTATGTGATATGGTATATTTTTGTGGTATAATCATAGGTCACTAAGGTGTGTACTATGGTATATTTCTCTGGTATAATTGTAGGTGTGTGCTATGGTATAATTCTGTGGTATAATTGTAGGTGTGTGCTATGGTATAGTTCTCTGGTATATTTGTAGGTGTGTGCTATGGTATATTTCACTGGTATAATTGTAGGTGTGTGCTATGGTATAATTCTGTGGTATAATTGTAGGTGTGTGCTATGGTATAGTTCTCTGGTATATTTGTAGGTGTGTACTATGGTATATTTCACTGGTATAATTGTAGGTGTGTGCTATGGTATAATTCTGTGGTATAATTGTAGGTGTGTGCTATGGTATAGTTCTCTGGTATATTTGTAGGTGTGTGCTATGGTATATTTCACTGGTATAATTGTAGGTGTGTGCTATGGTATAATTCTGTGGTATAATTGTAGGTGTGTGCTATGGTATAGTTCTCTGGTATATTTATAGGTGCGTGCTATGGTATATTTCTCTGGTATATTTGTAGGTTGGTGCAAGGATAATTTTTTTGGGTATAATTGTAAGTGTGTGCTATGGTATATTTCTCTGGTATAATTTTAGGCGTGTGCTATGGTATATTTCTTTTGTATAATTGTAGTTGTGTTCTATGGTATATTTCTCTGGTATAATCATAGGTGTGTGCTATGGTATATTTCTCTGATATAATTGTAGGTGTGTGCTATGGTATATTTCTCTGGTATAATTGTAGGTGTGTGCTATGGTATATTTCTCTGGTATAATTGTAGGTGTGTGCTATGGTATATTTCTCTGGTATAATTGTAGGTGTGTGCTATGGTATATTTCTCTGGTATAATTGTAGGTGTGTGCTATGGTTTATTTCTCTGGTATAATTGTAGGTGTGTACTATGGTATATTTCTCTGGTATAATCATAGGTGTGTGCTATGGTATATTTTATGTTATAATTGTAGGTGTGTGCCATGGTATATTTCTCTGGTATTATTTTAGGTGTGTGCCATGGTATATTTCTCTGGTATAATTGTTGGTGTGTGCTATGGTATATTTTATCTTGTATAATTTTAGGTGTGCTATGGTATATTTCTCTGTTATAATTTTAGGTGTGTGCTATGGTATATTTCTCTGCAGAAGTATCAGAGACATTGCTGTCATTCTGCATTAAACCACCTCTAGATGCCTGTACATACATGGGTGTTGATAGTGGTGTTTCTCCTATCAAGGTAAGATTCTGATTGAACATTCATTCATTACATATAAAATTAGTCTTTGAAAAGCTCACATGTTTAACGAAAATGCTCTGTTGTACTTAACAATATACAAGAGGTCTTTGTCAACTTCTAAACTTGTAAACACAACTTATTGTCTTGTGGTGATGATAGTATTTGAGATCTACAAATAAAATGAATATGTGAATTCTTTAAGGTTTTGTGACTTACACAAAAATGATTTACGAATGTAAAAATAGAAATAGTTTCTTAGAGTTTACATACATGATTTCTATATTTTGCTGGCGCTTCTTTACAATGATGAACTTGACATATATTAAAGTATTCTTTGGCATTGCAGTGTCTATTCTAGGAGGGGGATGGATATTTTTGAGAATCCCCCCCCCCTATTTTTCCAGAGCCAGGGGGGACATTTTACATAGAGAAAGAAGGGAAAAAATCAACAAATATAATATATTCTAAATTTTCAGAAAAATCCCCCCTGTTTTTCAAATCCTAGAATAGGTGTGGTTTTTTATTAACAAAAGGAAGTCTTAGAATTCATCTTTAAAGCTGAATTGTTTAATTCTCTGTTTTCAGCTTTCTTTATTTTTTGATGTAATGCTGCCAATGTGTTCAGGAGTAAATGCACGAGATTTCCGTTCAGGTGCACGAAGTGGTAGCTATGGTAAAGATGTTGCTGTGGGTGATATAAAGACAATGAGACAAGCTAGGACAATACTGTGGGATGATCTACATAAATATAAGATCAAAGCTTGTGAGTTACTGTTTCACTTTGATATCTTATATATGTCTAAAGAACCATGAAAGTTATATTTTATGTATATATCCTTTTACTTCTCACTATAAAAACAGTGTCTAGCACAGTACAACAGTTTACCACCAGTTACTGTCACAATACAATACTTTACCACCAGTTACTGTCACAATACAATATTTTACCACCAGTGACTGTCACAGTACAATACTTTACCACCAGTTACTGTCACAATACAATACTTTACCACCAGTTACTGTCACAGTACAATATTTTACCACCAGTTACTGTCACAATACAATATTTTACCACCAGTTACTGTCACAATACAATATTTTACCACCAGTTACTGTCACAATACAATATTTTACCATCAGTGACTGTCACAATACAATATTTTACCACCAGTTACTGTCACAATACAATATTTTACCACCAGTTACTGTCACAGTACAATACTTTACCACCAGTTACTGTCACAATACAATACTTTACCACCAGTTACTGTCACAATACAATATTTTACCACCAGTGACTGCCACAATACAATATTTTTACCACCAGTTACTGTCACAATACAATGCTTTACCACAAGTGACTGCCACAATACAATATTTTACCACCAGTTACTGTCACAATACAATATTTTACCACCAGTGACTGCCACAATACAATACTTTACCACCAAGTACTGTCACAATACAATGCTTTACCACAAGTGACTGCCACAATACAATATTTTACCACCAGTTACTGTCACAATACAATATTTTACCACAGTGACTGCCACAATACAATACTTTACCACCAGTTACTGTCACAATACAATACTTTACCACCAGTTAACTGTCATAATACAATATTTTACCACCAGTGACTGTCACAATACAATATTTTTACCACCAGTGACTATCACAGTACAATATTTTACCACCAGTTACTGTCACAATACAATACTTTACCACCAGTAACTGCCACAATACAATATTTTACCACCAGTGACTGCCACAATACAATACTTTACCACCAGTTACTGTCACAATACAATACTTTAACCACCAGTTACTGTCACAATACAATATTTTACCACCAGTGACTGCCACAATACAATATTTTACCACCAGTTAATGTCACAATACAATACTTTTACCACCAGTTACTGCCACAATACAATATTTTACCACCAGTTTACTGTCACAGTACAATATTTTACACCAGTTACTGTTCACAATACAATACTTTACCACCAGTTACTGTCACAATACAATATTTTACCACCAGTGACTGTCGCAGTACAATATTTTACCACCAGTTACTGTCACAATACAATACTTTTACCACCAGTTACTGCCACAATACAATATTTTACCACCAGTTACTGTCACAATACAATATTTTACCACCAGTGTCTGTCACAATACAATATTTTACCACCAGTGACTGCCACAGTACAATACTTTACCACCAGTGACTGCCACAATAAATACTACTTTACCACCAGTGACTGTCACAATACAATATTTTACCACCAGTGACTGCCACAATACAATACTTTACCACCAGTTACTGTCACAATACAATACTTTACCACCAGTGACTGCCACAATACAATATTTTACCAGAAGTTACTGCCACAATACAATATTTTACCACCAGTGACTGCCACAATACAATACTTTACCACCAGTTACTGTCACAATACAATATTTTACCACCAGTGACTGCCACAATACAATATTTTACCACCAGTGTCTGCCACAATACAATATTTTACCACCAGTGACTGCCACAATACAATATTTTACCACCAGTGACTGCCACAATACAATATTTTACCACCAGTACTGCCACAATACAATATTTTACCACCAGTGACTGCCACAATACAATATTTTACCACCAATGACTGCCACAATACAATATTTTACCACCAGTTACTGTCACAATACAATATTTTACCACCAGTGACTTCCACAATACAATATTTTACCACCAGTTACTGTCACAATACAATATTTTACCACCAGTGTCTGCCACAATACAATATTTTACCACCAGTGACTGCCACAATACAATACTTTACCACCAGTTACTGTCACAATACAATAATTTACCACCAGTGACTGCCACAATACAATACTTTACCACCAGTTACTGTCACAATACAATACTTTACCACCAGTTACTGTCACAACACAATATTTTACCACCAGTGACTGCCACAATACAATACTTTACCACCAGTTACTGCCACAATACAATATTTTACCACCAGTGACTGCCACAATACAATACTTTACCACCAGTGACTGTCACAATACAATATTTTACCACCAGTTACTGTCACAATACAATATTTTACCACCAGTGACTTCCACAATACAATATTTTACCACCAGTTACTGTCACAATACAATATTTTACCACCAGTGTCTGCCACAATACAATATTTTACCACCAGTGACTGCCACAATACAATATTTTACCACCAATGACTGCCACAATACAATACTTTACCACCTACAACATTTTACACTAGTAACTGATACAGTACAAAATTTTAACACCTACCATATTTACCACCAAAGACTGGCACAGTACAACACTTAATCTGCTTCTTTACATATTTACCTCTTCTGTTTAGGAGAAGTTCTTGAATACAATTAAACGATTTATAAAACTTCAGAATTCTCAAAGTTACATATTTAGAATATATTACTACTTCTGTACTATTTTGTATGTACATAGAATATAATTGATTTAAATTATGAGATGATTTTAGGTATGATAGAAGATGGAACCTGTATCTTTCCTCATACAATACAAGAACACAAGAAAAACATTCAGGATAGATTTATGGAGCAGTGTTTTCCTGAGGGAACTTTTAGATGGCAAAACTGGACACATTCTCATATACAGGTAAACTATCTACCAGTAAATTACACAACTGTCGGATACTACTAAATGGCTATACATGTACTGCAGCATTGATTCTATTTGTAAAAGCATTTATGCTAAAAATAGAATTGCAGCATTAGAAATATTGAACTTCTTTTAATGTTATAGCAAATATCAAGTGAATTTATTGTACACTTGTTTAAAGTCAGTCTGTTTTTATGAATTTACTGTATGATAACCATGTAAGGTGCACTCTTAGTTAATTCTATAGCCAATTCCATTCAGTTCATCCGCCGTAAAGGAACTCCCCTGAGGTCCAAAAGCCTTAAAACATGAAATTTGAAAATCTTACATGGATTAATAGGGACACCTAAAAACAGAAAAAAATGCAAAATTTGTCTTTTGAAGAGAAAGTTGAGCTATTACAATTGCTGCGGTATTGTTGTCATCATGCAAAAACTTGAATGTATAGCCAACTATTCAACATTTTAAAAGTTTAATGAATCTTGGAATATGCTAGCTTATTTTGACAAGGTGCAGTTGTAAGACAAGGGGCATAATTCTGAAAGCTATATTTTTGAGTTATGTCCCTTTTTAACTTAGACTTTTTTTAAGATTGGTTGCACTTAATAGACAAGCATTGACTATGCATGTGGCTCTCTGGTTTCCCTTTCCCTTATGCTACTATAAGAATAAGTGCTAAATAAAAATATTAGTTTTTGTAATTTCTTTCCGAAATATCATTGATTTGTTACATGCAAGAAAAAGAATCAAACATCGACTGTCGTCACAGACAGGAATAGCTAGCTCTAGGGGTAACCGTTTAGTAGAAACTTGGCAGAGCCTTGTTTCCGCCATAAACAGTTACCCTCGAGCTAGATATTCTGGTCTGTACTGGCAGCTGGTGTTAGATTTTTAAACTCTCTTTTTTTTTTACCTTACAAATAATATTATGTTTATTTTAAGAATACAGATCAAGTTGATGAATCTACTACAGTGATAAATAGTGTTGTAGGAGAGAATGTTATAGTTGGTCCCAAGTGTATCATTACACACTGTAATTTACAAGGTCATGTAACCATAGGTAAAGATTCCTTCATATCTGGCCTCGTCACAGATCCACAGGTATGTTTTAAAATTATATGTATTGTTAAATAAAATCTTCAAATTATTTTGTTATTTTGAATGATTATATAATTATATAATGTATGAATCAGTGAACAGCTTTTAAAAGATTTGTGGTAACTGTAGTGAGGAAACTACAGGGCAGCAAAATCAATTGTCTATATTGCCCAGGTTGGCAGACACAAGTGGGAATTTTTTAAAGAATTTACTCTATAAATAACATACGGATAAGTTAAGAAATGCTTCAGACAAAAATGAACCAAGAATTCAAAATCAGATTTCGCCAGCCCTGAATAACATGCTGTTTCTATAACAAACAAATGTTAATATATTTAAGCTTATCTATAAAGGAAATGTGGTTGTGAAATAACAGCTGTACAATTTTTAACTCATTAGCATTTTCTGAAGAAAACTAGCATGTAAGGTATTTTGTGAACTTGGCATATGTTTGCTATCCAGCTAGCTTACGGAACGTAGGTGGTTCTACTTAGGTGCCCATTCAAACCTGAAATGATATACTGGTAGACCTTCTCTAGTCTAGCCGCCTTATTGCTTTTACTCTGTTGGTGCGATGTATAACCCAACCAAAGAAAAAAGAAACTGGATGAAAAGGAAGAATACAAAGAAACCACATGTCAACACTGGAAAAATGTGAACAAAATTTTAATACAGATCTACCGGTTTCAAACCTATCTGGTTCTTCATCAGGATGAAAGAAAAAAGAAGTACAGATCAGTCTCTGAAACTATTTTATTTCAAACTGTTGTATGTAGTTATAATATAATTAGTAAAAATAATTTGTTTATATTTTAGTCAACAGAGAGGTTATCATTTGCTGACTCTATTATTGTACAGTGTAATACCATCTTTGTCCCAATGCTGGGAAAATCTATCCACGTTACTACAACACATGGCCGCTTTGACAACATAGAGGTAAGTTTAAGGAGAGATACCTGTCTAATTTTAGTAAAACGTTTAGTTTCAAGTTCTTAAAGCATGACTTATCGAACAAGCATCGGACTATTGTTAATAGGCTTCTGCTATAAAGAAGAGTTCCCTGCCTAATTTTAGTAAAACATTAAGTTTCAAGTACTTAAAGCATGACTTGTTGAACAATAATAGAGCTTATCTACACACTTGGGCTTCTGCGAAACACTTTCATCTTCAAAAATATATGTCATTGATGCATTCCGGTTGATATTTATAGGAAATTTCCGAGGGTCACTTGGATTATTGATTACTTTTGCAAAGTAAAATATAATATTGATATATATATATAATTTGGTGGCTTTATCGTTAAAGCACATGTTTATAGGAAGTTTGCGCATTGTTTTTCTTTTTCCAAAATTGTTAAAGACTTCTAAAAAAGGACAGTCTTTTTCCCTGTGTCTGGAGCATTATAGTAATGAGACGTTATGTGTCATGCACACTTTCACTCACCGTTAGGAGGAGGGGCCATTTCATTGGCATCTTTGGTATTGCATTGAGGTAAATTATCACCACTTTGTGTTTCAAAATTAACTCTTTAAGGGAATGACTGGTGACATGTTCAGGGTCTGTACTCGACAGCGAAAGCAACATTTTGTGTCCTTACAAGTGGATAGTACGCATAGGCTATAGATAGACAGATATTGGTAACAACAGAAAACTGAGATCTGCAGTTAGAACATGAGGTGTAATGTGTTTTTCATAAATGGTTTTAAGGCAATTCAACAAAAAAGTATATTGACCTGCCAATAAATCAATTAACAATAGTTTTTTATGCTCCCCGAAAAATTTCGTCCGTACGACCCAAATTCGTGTCCGGCCGATAACTTTGTTATTTGAAGTCGGATTTTAAAACTATTTCACAGAAATGATCACCATATTGAGACGACGTGTCGCGCGCAACATTTGGGTCGCTACCTTAAAGGTCAAGGTCACAGCATGACCTTGCAGCAAAATTGTGTCTGGCCCATAACTTCGTTACTGGAAGTCGGATTTAACAACTATTTCAATGAGGTGATCACCATATTGAGACGATGTGTTGCATGCAACATTTGGGTCGCTACCTTGAAGGTTAAGGTCACGGCATGACCTTGCAGCAAAATCGTGTCCAGCCCATAACTTCGTTACTGGAAGTCGGATTTAACAACTATTTCACAGAGATGATCACCATATTGAGACGATGTGTGTTGCATGCAACATTTGGGTCGCTACCTTGAAGGTCAAGGTCACAGCATGACCTTGCAGCAAAATCATGTACGGCGCATAACTTCGTTATTTGAAGTCGGACTTTACAACTATTTCACATAAATGATCACCATATTGAGACAATGTGTCGTGCACAACATTTGGGTTGTTTTTACACTTTGAACTTTGTCTGTGACATAACTCTGACACAACAAGAGGTATACCTTCCTGCGTTTCAGAAAATTATTCCCATTTCATTACTCTTCGCTGACTTTGACTTCGAATATTTATGAAAGCTAAATATTTCTTGAAAAAATACATATCTACAAAGCTTATTCAAAATTGAATCAACCTAAGTAAAAATTGATCAGGAAGTTATATCTTCTTTTTTTACCACCAACACTCGACCAACTTATGGTAGTTTATCGATAGTTTTAAACCTCACTAGCTTGAAATATGTACTGCGGAAAATCTGTTGTTAACAGGGTTTGCGATTAATACGTAGGGTTATCTCTGTTGACCATTTCCCTCAAATAGATGAGAACATCAAAGTGTCAGTGCTATAAATGGTGTTATAAATAGCGTGTTTTGGAAGTTTTTGTTGAAAACAAAACAAAACAAAAACAACAACACTTTTTCTGCGGTAATTGTTCAAGTGTTGTAAAATGAATACGAAATTCCACTTGTGCCGCCGATTATTTTTAGAACACAAACATATAAGTTTTTTTATTTTATTGATTCAAATTAACATTAATCACTTCAGCGGGCGCAAATATCGTTTTCAAATTAAAGTTTCATAAAATATGTTGATGAATTCCCGATGCTCGACTGTAAGTCATTCGTATATACATGCGTTTTACTTTTTTTTTTTTTTTAAAAAAGCTTATTATTCTTAAATATTTTTTTTATGTATCTGTATTGAAAATTTGAATTTTATTACACATGGACTATCAAATTATGATGCGTTGTCCTAGAATTGAATAAACTTTCTAATTACACAATACGGGGTCATTCATTTGATTGAAGACTGATATTTGCGTCTTTCTCTGAAATAATTATTTCCTTGTTAAAACATATTTGACCACATATTTCTGTCATTTAACTGTTCACTATACTTCCGATTTTTTTGTTGTACCGAAACACATGTTTTTATTTGTGTTTTCTAATCAATTCGAATCTATAATCAGTTTAATGAGATCACCACCGGGTAAACGACTACTAGGTTCTTTGGTCATGTTTTTTACCCCAAATATTTGAATGTTTCTATTGGGATAAAACTGAGCGTAATTAACTAAACAAGTGGTTGTATAGATCTCTGACCTGTCTAATTCTAATTATGAGATTAGTGGATACATTAAGACTTTAACCTCAACATATTCCTAAACAAAAGAGCACATGTTTAAATTTATTCTTATTCAAATAAAAGGTCAGAATAGGGATCTATCAATTGCCAGACATATTTTTAAAAGATACTTTTATATTAAAAGTTTGATTGATGAATTATGTGAGATGAAAATATAAGTATTGTTTATTATTTATTTTGCCAAATGTAAAATGTATTCTTGTGCTGAAATTTTGTCGGAGGGTCCTTACGGGTTTTGTAGTTAAATAGTGTTTTTTTTTCGGCGATAATGGTTCAAGAATATAATGTTTTCAAACTATATGTTAATCACCATCAGTGAATTCTTAGTTAAATGTATGCAAAATATTTACTAACAGCTATATGATATAGCGGTTTATGAGCGTTTTCCGCGTACAGCCTCCTAGGGTGTACTAATAAGTTAGTTTTCCTTAGTTATCACGCAAGCATGATCCATGTCTCTGATGTAAGTGACAGTTTACCATTATTTGTCTTTTTTAAAAAAATTTAAGGACTATTAATGGTTTATAACAACAAAAGAACATGCATGATATTGAGACTACGGTGTTGCAACGTTCTAGTTAATGACCCGTCATAAACAGTTAGTCGCTGCGTATTAATTGGAAAATTGTTTTCAAAAATAAAAACAATGTTTTGCCAAATAATTCAAACATTTATTCATTACTTTACAATAATGCGTTTTGTTTTTAATATTCCCAATAAAGTAGTTAAAAGTATAAGAGTTTAAATATAAGAACTATTTATGACCGATGTAAATGACCGATTTACCGCCACACCACTCACATTTTTTAAAATTTAGAAAACTTTTAAACAAAGCGCTTCTCTAAGAATTATGAACTTTACAAACAGCAAGTATGATGGTTAAGAACAAAAACATGTTTTAACTGTAAATAACGGTGATAAGTGATGAGTCAGCTTTAAAATATCACGGTGCTAGTTTTTTTGACCTGATTACCGCTGCAGTAAGATTTGATGAACGATCTTAACATTGGGGAGGCATAGCCTCCCCAAAAATTGCAAATTTTTACGAAGTCAGGGGCAATAACTTTGACAAAACAGAATAAATCCACAAGCGAAACCCAAGGTGCTTAACTTCACATGCTGAGCAACATTCCTAGGTCAAATACTTTTTGAGCTATGTGTGACACCAAAAGAGAACAGACTGAGGGATGGACAGACATGCCCCCCCCCATAGTTGGGGCACAATAATCATAAACCCAGGTGCTAACCTTATAAAACTAATCACATAATATGATGTAAGTGTTAATAATGAATATATATTTAATAATTTGAAGTAAATCCATGAAGAAATAATTAAGATTAATTGAATAAAAAAAAGAAAATAAAAGTTAACAGGGAAGATTATTCTGGAAATGTAACCTTGTCATATCATAATGATCTGGGAATTTGAAGTTTGAAGTAAATCCTGTTAGAAATGAGGAAAAAAAATAATTTATAGAAAAAAATCTAAGTTCAAGGGGGATGGGGGGGGGGAGGAGGAGAATAATGCTGGAAATAGTCAAGCTAGATATTGAATCTTCCCACACATGATTTGAGTCATAATAAGGAACATATACATGTACTTGAAGTTTGAAGTAGACATCTTAAGAAAATTTAAATAAAAAAGTTATAGAAAACTACATTTTTTTTCATGGAATTTCCTGAGTTCAAGGATGATTAAGTGATAGAAATATGAACCTATTGCCACATATGATGTGGGTGATGATAAAAAAACATATATTAAAAGTTTGAAGTAGATACATTAAGAAATTAAGAAGTTATACAAATACAACAATTTTTTTTTAAGAGATGGGAAGGTAAATCTAATAATTTTGGTGCTAGAGTTGTGAACCTTGTTGTGCATAATCTCCATATCTATCCATATTTCAAGTTTTTTTAAGATATTTTCAGTATTTGTTGATTTATCACAAATACATGTCTTGTTTTATTTGCCGTATTGTACGACATTTATATCAAAGTTAGCATGATGAAAACTCTGTCAGTTATTTAAATAATGTGCATTTCTTTCTAAATTTATTGTGTTTTCAATAATCTCAAAAACTTGATTGGACATGTCTGTAAAACATTTTTTTATATACCGATAAAAATACAGTTATTTATCTCGTACATGCAATATTCTTGAAATCATTGTTATCTTAATAATTTCTTTATTGCTTAAATAGAAAACACTTTATATTTAAGTACTTATAGTCCTTATAGTTTCATGTATATTGTTGTTGTGTTTTTTTTCAACAGAGGAAACAATCAAATTTTCTTATAAAACAATAGGATGGAAAAATGAGTTATTTTCCTCTTCACATCATCAGAGGAAGTAAAAGTAGCAAAATTTCTTTAAATCTTGCGAAACAGAATCAATACAATTCCTTTGATTTGTTTCTGCGACATAGTACGAAATCATCTTTTCAAAGTAAGTTTATGATTTATTTTGTACACATAATATTTTAACAAAGTATTTCATTGAAAATTTAATTATGTAAGAGTTTAATGCCAGTTAATAATGTTTATATTAAATTCAAGTATCCTTTTCTTAGCTTCTGCTTCAAGTTACAATTTAATATAATGTAATTTTTATACAAAATTTAATCAAATTTATAACTATGTATTAATTAAAAAAATATTATAAATGTAACTCTGGAAATGAAAAATGTTTCGCTACTTTAAAGGACTAGTTCAATTTACTATTGATAAAATATAATTTGTCAGGATTAACTTTAACATTCAGTATTAAGAAATTAGAAATCACACATCCCATCAATTATTAATATACTGACATCAAAATGTTCATGTAATAAAAATAGGAAAATATTGAAACAAATAGATAAAAGGAAAAAAAAATCTATAAAATATTAAATATTAATTGATATCTACCTAAAATTATGTAAACTTTCCAAATTGGCTATCCTGTACTGTTCTGTTCTATGACATCAAGGTCAGTTAATTAACATGAAGAAGTATGTGACAAAATAAACTTGGTTGCTGACTGAAACATTTTTCCTTTTTACTAATATATTACAGAATGTTTCAAGAACCTGACTACAGAGAAAACCTATCATTGGCACTATCAGAGGTTTTAGATGACATTGGTGTCAATGAAAGAATGGTGATGAGAAGGAGAAGACATTTAATGCTGAGAGAAACTATGGGTAATATCATGTTCAGGTTAACTGATATAAACGTGACTAATTATCATCTAGGGAGTCAGAGTGAAGGTACAACTACTAGAGGACTTCATTCAGACATTGATATACTAGTCTGTTTGCATAGGTACAATATAATACAAGACTGGTCACAGTGGGAACATGGCAAGTTTAACTACCTCATGATACAGGATGAGAACACTACTCCCGGGTATTGTTTCTTACAACTGCTCCATCCTTATGCTCCATATCTTCCTGTCACTGTCATTCCTGATGAACACCATATAAATGATAGAAGTGGAAGAATATTATTAAAAAACACAAGGTATAATGGTTTAATTCCGGGTGCTATAGATCATGGACCATCAAATGCTTTACAAGGACAGCATGGATACTATGATATGGACAGTGTGATAGCTTTTCATTGTAAATCATGGCCTCAATCAGCATCAAGTTGGTTAGATAGACAAGGTATTGGTAGATGGCCAACACAAGAGATGAAAAGATATGCAGTCAGAACTGGGTGTTTTGTTGTTGCAACTGGAAGTAAGGTCAGTGAATATCCTGAACTTGAATGGAGAATATCTACATCCCTGACAGAAAGGTGCCTTATGTTAAACCTAAATATAACACAAATAAGGTGCTATGTACTATTGAAAATGATTCTTAAATCCTTCCTTAATCCTCAGGGGACAATTAATATATCAAGTTTCATGTGTAAAACAGTTCTTTTACACTGTATAGAAAACACAGAGTCAAGTATATGGAAAGAGAACAATTTATTTATATGCTTAACATACTGCTTATCAGAACTACATAGCTGTGTACAGAATGACCGTTGTTCACATTTCATTATCCGAGAAAACAATTTGATGGCAGGGCAATTTACAGCTGAAAAAAAACATGAACTTTCAAAAAATATAAGCGATTTTTTACAGAATGACAGACAAATGTTACTTATAATTGATATTGATGATCTTGGCTATAGATTGCAAGTTAAACTGAACATGCTACCACACGGAGCATATTATCATCAATCTTCTCATGCAATACATGAATTTTATATGACCGAAGAATATTTAAACACAGCATTCACTGTAAGGGGGTCTCAACTGAGACTTTTACAACATTTACACACAAAAAACATTAGAACGATGAAGCATTGTATAGGTAAACTAATTACTTTCAATGTTAATGGAAATAGATTAGAACAGGCTGCATTCAAGTTTCTAGCACCTTTTCTTTTTACCACATATGGATCTATCCTGGCATCATCCAGCATTGGTGAAAATAATCAAGTGTCACCTCAAGCATTGGTTTGGTTATTAGATGGATTAAACTCAGATATCTGGAATAGCAGACTTAAATTGGCTTCAGTGTTCTACAGTACAGGAGATATGGAGAAAGCTGAACTAATACTGACACACACTGAACAACAATATTACTCTTATCCTGTTTTTCCTATCTGTAGATGCGAGGATATGCCTCCACCAGCAGTAACAGCAGAATTCAAGAGGGTATGTGGTGAACAAAGTGAGGACTGTATTAAACATATAACAGCATTTTGTGTCACATTCATACAGAAAGAGATCAACTGTGTTCCTCATGAACTACAATATGAAATGTTTAGATCTACACAAGATGACATGATACACAGAGATGAGGATGAAGACTATTGGATGGACTGGGCTGTAGTTGATTCTCTACCTTTCCTATACTTCCTGCAATACAAGATCTACAGTCATCTACAAAGACATGAAGATAAACAACAAGCACTAAGTAAACTTATAAGAACCATAGAAACTGATAAAAACCTCAGACATAGAGAAACAGCTCTCAACATTTTAGGACAATGTATGGAACAAGAAAACAGACCTCAACAGGCATTAAATTACTACCTGCTTTCTCTTCAACAAAGGCAAAGAAACAATGTAGCAATCATCCATATATGTAAGCTCCTTTCTGGCTTATTGGCAGCACAATAATAAGGGTTCAAAATACAGTGACAGTATTACAACTGAAGTTTTCAATGATTATATACTGATTGTGTGTATTAAACTGACTCAGATGTTAAAATATATACATGTATATGCCTTTCATCATTCTTTCTGTTACATTTTAGTCTCAAATAAAACAATCAGAGTGAATTAACAACTACTATGTGATATGATTTTGTATATATAATCTTATACTGTTATAAAATATGAAATAAACAAAATAACTAGAACTCCACGAGTTTGCTCTGTGTCACCTTGTAAACAGTTGAGCTGTCACTTAAATTAGGCATTTTCTTCTTAAATATTGGTTATTTATAAACACTGCTCTTACAATGTACATGTACCTTTAACTTAAGTGGTTTTTGAACTGATTGTAACAATGTAACATCAGGATTAATAAAACTGTAACATTATCAAAAATAAAAATACCATGGAAAAGTTTTACACTGACAGATCAAATTGAGGACTCTGTGATTGATCCTTAAGCATTGCACTTCAGGTCAATGAAAAAAGCTTACAAACCAAATTTGGAGTCAATCAAACTTAAGCCTCGGTCTCACTTACTCCCGGCAGAGCCCAGGACCATCCCAGTAAGTTACTGGATGGTCCGGGATGAAATTATTGTTGCGGTCACACTTACCCCGGCAGCACTACGGTAGTTCCCTACTAACCACCCAGGATGCGCTCTGGATCATCCAGGCAGAGCCCAGGTGAAGCTACAGTTCATGCCGGTGCTTCCCCGGTTGTTCCCGGATGACGCCGGAAGAGCCCCGGTTGACCCAGGCAGAGCCCCGATCGATCCAGGCAGAGCCCCGGCAGAGCCCAGGACAATCCAGGCAGAGCCCCGGTAGAACCCCGGTGGATTGAAAACTCCTGAAAATGATAACATTGATACATAATTTTTATTTACTATTGTTAATATCATGATGATTTTCTGAAAATGCCATACTGGATAGAAGGGAAATGGAAAGGCTTTTAATACAAACAAGTGCAATCATCGCAAATTGTTGTTATTCTTTTGAAATGATCCGGGCTTTGCCGGGGCTCTACCGGGATCAACCATAGCTCTACCTTTATCCTCCGGGGCTCTGCCTGTAGTTACCGGGGCTCTGCCGGCATATACCGGGGCTCTACCGTAACTCTACCGGCTATATCATACCCCGGATCATCCCCGGTTTGTGCCGGCAGAGCTACGGTGCTTTCCCGGTATAACCCTGGTCGTTCCCCGCAGAGCTAAGGATGAAGCCGGCAAAGCTATACCTTCCCGGATCATCCCGGACCACCCCGGTGATATTAAATATTTTATTCCATCCGGGGTCGAATGCCGGATGTTCCCGTATCATCCAGGACGTTGCCGGCAGAATTACGGATGTACCCCAGTTGTTCCCGGTTGTACCCTGGTCGTTCCCGGATCACCCCGGACGTCTACAGGGGCTCTGCCGGGATGTAAGTGAGACTGTAGCTTTATTGTGACCAAGTTATGCTCTGGACAAGCCTACTTACTAAGAAAATAAATAAAGGGCAGTAACTCATAAATCATGCAGTACAGAGTACTAATTCTTGTGCATTGCACTTCTTCTTCATGAGATCTATCATCCTATGAAGTTTCAAATCTATAGCTTTTAAAGTGTAGGAGCATTGGCCCGGACAAAAGTAAAGTATTATAATTTACAAAGGGCAATATCTCTAAAATCATGAAGTACAGAGTACTGGTTCTTGTGCACTGCACTTCTTCTCAATGAGATCTATCAAACTATGAAGATTCAAGTCCATAGCTTTTATAGTTTAGGTGAAATGGCTGGGATAAAAATAATGTAACAAAATAAACAAAGAGAAAAAAATAAAAAATCATGGAGTACCGGTTTTTCATGCACTGCATTTCATCTCAATGAGATCAATCATCCTATGAAGTTTTCAAAGCTTTTATATTTTAGAAGAAATGGCCCAGACAAAAATAAAGTGAGAAAATTAACAAAGCACAAAAACTCAAAAATCATCGAGTGATCACACATTGCAAAATGCAAAGTTATTTTGATTTTTAGCTCGACTATTCGCAGAATAATCAAGCTAATGCAGTTACCCATTTGTCGGCGTCGGCGTCCCTGTGGTTAAGTTTTTGCGTGCAAGCTGGTATCTCCATAACTACTGAAGGGAATGGCTTGAAACTTCACACACTTGTTCTCTGTGATTATCTAACATGATTGGCACAAATCCCATAACTCTGATTTGCTCTTTTGCATAATTATGCCCCTTTTTCGACTTAGAAATTCTTGGTTAAATTTTTGCGTGCAAGCTGGTATCTCCATAACTAGTGAAGGGAATGGCTTGAAATTCACACACCTGTTCTCTGTGATTATCTAACATGATTGGCACAAGTCCCATAACTCTGATTTGCTTTTTTGCATAATTATGCCCCTGTTTCGACATAGAAATTCTTGGTTAAGTTTTTGCGTGCAAGCTGGTATCTCCATAACTACTGAAGGGAATGGCTTGAAACTTCACACACTTGTTTTCTGTGATTATCTAACATGATTGGCACAAGTCCCATAACTCTGATTTGCTCTTTTGCATAATTATGCCCCTTTTTCGACTTAGAAATTCTTGGTTAAATTTTTGCGTGCAAGCTGGTATCTCCATAACTAGTGAAGGGAATGGCTTGAAATTCACACACCTGTTCTCTGTGATTATCTAACATGATTGGCACAAGTCCCATAACTCTGATTTGCTTTTTTGCATAATTATGCCCCTGTTTCGACATAGAAATTCTTGGTTAAGTTTTTGCGTGCAAGCTGGTATCTCCAAAACAACTGAAGGGAATGGCTTGAAACTTCACACACTTGTTTTCTGTGATTATCTAACATGATTGGCACAAGTCCCATAACTCTGATTTGCTCTTTTGCATAATTGTGCCCCTTTTTCGACTTAAAAATTCTTGTTTAAAATTTTGCGTGCAAGCTTGTATCTCCATAACTACTGAAGGGAATGGCTTTAAACTTCACACACTTGTTCTCTGTGATTATCTAACATGATTGGCATAAGTCCAATAACTCTTATGTGCTTTTGTACATAAGTATGCCCCTTTTTGGACTTAAAATTCTTGGTTATGTTTTTGCGTGCAAGCTGGTATTTCCATAACTTTTGAAGAGAATGGCTTGAAACTTCACACACTTGTTCTCTGTGATTATCTAACATGATTGGCACAAGTCCCATAACTCTGATTTGCTTTTTTGCATAATTATGCCCCTTTTTCTTCTTAGAAATTCTTGGTGAAGCAAATATCTCCAAAACTACTGAAGGGTTTGTGCCTTTTTAGCTCACCTGTCACAAAGTGACAGGGTGAGCTTTTGTGATCGCTTTTCGTCCTTCGTCCGTCTGTCCGTCGTCCGTAAACTTTTACTTTAAATGACATCTCCTCATAAACCAATAAGCCAATTTCATTCAAACTTTACATGAATGTTCCTTTGGTGGTCACCTTTGAAAATTGTTCAAAGAATTTAATTCCATGCAGAACTCTGGTTGCCATGGCAACCAAAAGAAAAAACTTAAAAAATCTTCTTCTAAAAAATCCAAAGAGCTAGAGCTTAGATATTTGGCATGAAACATCTTCTAGAGAGTGTCTACCAAGTTTGTTCAAATAAAAGCCCTGGGGTCAAAATTGGCCCCGCCCCAGGGGGTCATTGATTTTTCCTATATGCATATAGTAGGCTAAAACCTTAAAAAATCTTCTTTAAAAGAACCCAAAGACCTATAGCTAAGATATTTAGCATGAAACATCCTCTAATGGGTTTCTACCAAGTTTGTTCAAATAAGAGCCCTGGGGTCAAAATTGGCCCCACCCCAGGGGGTCATTGATTTTCTCTATATGCATATAGTAAAAACTTAAAAAAATCTTCTTGTAAAGAACCCAAAGACCTAGAGCTAAGATATTTAGCATGAAACATGTTCTAATGGATGTCTACAAAGTTTGTTCAAATAAAAGCCCTGGGGTCAAAATTGGTCCCGCCCGGGGGGTCATTCCCTATATGCATATAGTAAAAACTTAAAAAATCTTCTTTTAAAGAACCCAAAGACCTAGAGCTAAGATATTTAGCATGAAACATCCTCCAATGGGAGTCTACCAAGTTTGTTCAAATAAAAGCCCTGGGGTGAAAATTGGCCCCGTCCCAGGGGGTCATTGATTTTCCCTATATGCATATAGTAAAAACTAAAAAAACTTCTTTTAAAGAACCCAAAGAGCTAGAGCTAAGATATTTAACATGAAACATCTTCTAGTGACCGTCTACCAAGTTTGATGTAATAAAAGCCCTGGGGTCGAAATTGACCCGCTCAGGGGGGTCATTCATTTTCCTTATATGTGTATAACAAAAACTTTAAAAATCTTTTTTGAAAAAACTCAAACAGCTAGAGTTTAGATATTAAGCACGAAGCATCTTCTAGCGAGTGTCTACAAAGTTTGTTCAAATAAAAGCCCTGGGGTCAAAATTGGCCCGCCCCGGTGACATTGATTTTCCTTATATGTGTATAGCAAAAACTTAAAAATCTTTTTTGAAAAAACCTAGAGTTTAGATATTAAGCATAAAACATTTTCTAGTAAGTGTCTACAAATATTGTTCAAATAAAAGCCCTTGGGGCAAAACTGGCCCTGCCCCAGGTGTGTCATTGTTTTTAAGTATAGACCTTAGATGTTTAGCATGAAACATCTTCTAATGGGTGTCTACCAAGTTTGTTCAAATAAAAGCCCTGGGGTTTAAACTGGCCCCGCTCCGGGGGCCTATATACAGGTGAGCGACTTCAGGGCCATCATGGCCCTCTTGTTTGAACAATTTATAATAATAAAGCAGTGATTAACTCGATAAAACATCTTAATAACAAGCCTTTGTATCTTTTCGGACAATTTTATTCATATAGGTAAGCATTATTATAAACCAAAGAAACCCTTGTGAAAACTTTTCGAAAGTTTCCCGCTTAATCCCCCGGCATTTTTTGTTACCTATGTAATAACCTTTAAAACTTTTAAAAGGGCTAATTTTGCTATAAAAATTTCCTGCCAAAATATTTTCAGGGTCCCAAAGTGAAGAGTGTGAAGTAGTTTTTGGCCAATTTCCCTGGGGGATAATGATGAACCCGGGTGGATTTTAAAGGAAAAACCTGTGGGGACAGGAAAATGGTATGTTTTAAATAGGGTACTATATTTTACAAAAATAAAGTTTTGTTTCATGATGATTTTTAAATTTAATTTGGGATTTTGCTGGGACAATTTTTCCAGGGGCTTTTTAGTTTCCCAAAACTGACAATGTCATAATTTTATCCCTTTTGTATTTTGAAAACAGTTTTTAAAAAATAAGAAAAAGGAATATGATTATTTTTATATTATAAACATCACATTGCTGATGTTTTTGATATACTGAACTATTTCTCACAGTATTCAAACTTACATCCTATACTTTTTGTAATTAACTATGTGTATTCAATCAATGATTCCACAAATTTATGATTTTATATATATGTTACCCTTATCTGACTAGCCAACAGAAAATGCATGTATCCTGCAATCAAATTTCCTAGCCTTTAGACAGTTTGCAATTATATCTATGTTAAGACTGAAACACATACATTTTACTTCAATTAAAATTTGATAAATATAGATCTATGACCCCATGACTACACCATTTAGTTTATAATTAATATTATTATATGTAAAATAATTTGTTCAGACATATGTTATTATAAAATATTTGTTATGCAGGAAGCAGATGATCAGAACATATTTACAGCTCAATTATTTCCTGTGTTTCATGCCAAGGACACTGTAGGGTTACAGGAGATATTGTGGTTACAGGGAGCTGTCACTGATAATGATGATAGAGATATTCTCCGCAGGTCAGTCTACCAATTATTCATTGATCATTCTTGTACTATTACTCTGTTGTTGTGGTTATGTGGTTTAAAAAAGAATTTGAAGACACATGGCGGATAATGCATTTACACTGCTGTAAAAAACTTGAGCATATTGAAATATCATCATGAGTATTTGGGCCTGTTGAGATGCAAGAATGATGCTTAAATATTTTATTATTTTGTTTTGCAAAAATGAAGATGATTGGTTCTGTTCAGGAATCCAGAGGCATTTTTAATTCAGATGTACCTGTCTAACCTGAGGTTATTGATTATCAAATGTATTTTATTTTAATACAAGGGAGTTAATTTTTTTTCAATTGTAAAGAAATATATATTACCTGCTTAATTAAGATTCCCAAGTGGTTAAGGAAAATCTACACTAAAGGGAGAGAATTATAATAATATTATTCTGTCATACTTTGATTGTGAAAAGGAAAAGGTAAACATTTGTATCATGTATTTTATTAAATTTTATTTATAATATTCATGTAGATCTATGTTGGTTTTGTCAGTGTGTACAGCCTAACCTATTCGTAAGACTACCGCGTAATACAGAAAAACCTGCAAATAACGACCACTTTTTGATAACCTTATATTGATAAAATTGGAACAAAGTAACCTCCAAATAAAGACCACTTGTCTGTTAAGAGTTAAAGACCATGATTTATCTCACTCTTGGTTTGCCTTTGTTCCTGTGTTTGACTGTATATATGATTTCATGCAGTAACATCTAGCTTGAATTATTAAAATGACTATTATCTTTAAAAAAAAAAGTCATTAAAAATGCATTGTTGTCTTTGATAAATAATGTTTTACTGATTTATTCAACCATAAACATTTCAGATGGAGAAGTTCATGGCGTCTGAGTATGAAGGACATTCATTCATTAACAGATCTGAAAGGAGAGCTGGAATCTAGAAAGTAAATCTGTTATTCTTTAACCCTGCTGAATTTCTTAAATGGACTTGCCTAGCCTCATTTTTGGAACCATCCACTCTCAATTTTAGGGATATCAAGATGTTAATTTGAAGTTAGTCAGCTATCAGTATAAAGAAATGGTCAAGTTTCAAGTTTTATTTACAAATTCTCTGTTTGCATATATACAAATACAAGAGTCAATCTGCACAGATGTGTAGGCTGGTCTGGCTCTGTTATTTTGGCAAAGGTTAATTTTTTTTGTTTGGTTAAAAATAGTTTGTATTATTTCCTATATTGTTAGGTTTAACATGCTACTTTTATTGTGTCCTTACCAGTATTAATTTGCATGCACTGTAAATAAAGTATATAGCATGAATTATAGACTTTAGATTGAATTAAATGGATTTGGTAAAGGAGAAACAAATGTGCAAATGAAGGACTGATTTTACCAAATAAGCATGATATCCATTGAAACCCCATTGCTATAAACAAAAATTGGCACATTCGTATCAGGAATTTTCTGTTTTATATACACGGGCATGCCATTCTGTGTTTTTGGAGTCTTAAAAGGCAACTCTCATGTGTGAAATAATGTTATAAAATGTATATATATGTATTTTCAGGTTGTTGTTTTATACAGTAGGTCAGCATGATATTACAAAGGCATTGCTACAACAGGAGAATAAAGGTTTCCGTGTACTATATAACAGTGCTGTCATTGATGGATATACACAGTTACTACTTAATACACTCGACACAGGTATAGATGTATTTTCACATAGCAATTATTCCTCCGCTTGCTACCATTTTGAGGATAATTTCCAATATATCATATGCTTAAGATAAGATAAAAAAATCTCTCATAATTATATCATCTTCTTGAAAACTGATAAAAATCTTTTACATATTGGTGCTAAAATAATATATAAGACTTTGAAAGTTACTATGAGAGTTTACCAGTTTCTGTACGAAAGTGGTAACGCATTACAGTAACCATTTTAGGCTTGACTATTCAAAGAATAGGGAAAGCTATTGTACTCACCCATAATTGAAACTTCAATCATACTCGGAGGTCACTGACCAAGGCCAATAACTCTAACATGGATTTTGACAGAGACATGCCCCTTTTTGAACTTGTTTTACTATTAAACACTGAGAATTGTCAGTATGCTGTCCTACCAACAGCTCATGTTATGTTACTTGGGACCACTGCCATGAAAGAAAAAAATGCAAATAGTGCTGAACATTTTATGTACCATATAAGAGAGGCATACTTATATCCAGCAATAAAATCTTCATCTCTAATTAGTTGTGCAGGTATTTCATAAGAATATAGAACAGTTTCACATAAGCTGTCAAGCTCTGTATAAATATATTTTATATAGCTGTAATTGTATTGATATATATGTGTACTAGTTTGGGCATCTTGCATGAAGAATAGAGGTATATTTTATAAGATACCTGGAATTTGTATTCCATACATCCTGAACCCCAAAATATTAAAATGTGTATTTTTAATACTTTTGTCTACATTCTCCTTCCTTTTCTATATTGATATTTTTTAATACACTCTTCCTTTATTCCTCTTTTTTAACAGATTAATTAATATAAATGTCAAATATGTTTAATGGGATTAGCTGAGATCACATTGTTTTTGGTGTGTGTGTTGTTTTTTTTCACAGTATTTTATTATATAATACAAGTATGATGCCCTGATATTTTATTGACTTGTGTTGATTGAATATAATTAAGTAATGTCTTTGTTGATCATTCTTATATTATAAGGAAAATAATTGTTTTGAATAAATAAAACAACAATCTTTAATCAAAAGATACTATTGATTTAAGCTTATATAGAAAAATCATGTTAGAAGGTCAGTGTTGCAAAAATTCTATTTAGTTTTAACATATTTGTTTGAGCTTGATTGCAATGCTGGCGAACAATAAGTGATCCTAGTGTGACTTAAACCAGCAACCCATAGGTCATAAGGTAGACACTGGAATCAGGAGACCATCCACTTAAAAGATAGTGCTTAACATTGAACTAATCTTCTTAAAACTACTAAAGCTTAGTGTTAGAATAGACTAAATATTACATAGTATTGTAATAGAATTATTTAAAAGGAGATGAATTACTTAAACCTAGTGTTAGAATAGATATTGAACTAACTGCATTATTATGAAATAATATCTATGATAAATACATTGTCTCAGCAAATTAATCATTATAATTAATATTATATATACATGTATACTTTACTGATTTAAGAAGGAATATTTCCAAGTGTATTTGTTTCGAATATAAACAATGCAAATAAAGTACACACTTGTGTTACAGTTGGTGAAGGCAGTGACAGTGAGCTTCAAGCTGGTATGGCTGCCAGGACTCTCGCCAACATTGCTGATGTCCTAGGTTGTATGGCAGGACCCAAAGGTGGACTTAGAAGTGGTCCGGCTGCTAATACAGCTTGGGCAAAAGCCTTTCAGCTGCTTGAGGTAAAGTTGTCAACTCCTAATTTTACTACTGTGCATTAATGAATTGCTTAAGTTAGAAGTTAGATATGAATAATTGATGATAAAAAAAAAAAAAATCATTTATTCATACATGTATATGTATTTTACATCAATTTATTTGGATTTGAGACTTTGTTCTCCTGTTAGTTGTTACATAGGAATAAATTGATAAATTTTAGAAAAGGAATATCAAAGGGGGTATAGAGGCCCTTGCTAAAGAACGGAGTAAGTGGCTGGACAGACCTGACACCCTGATCCGTGCAGCGCGGCACTACGAGGGGGCAGCCCAGATACTTATAAGACATGCAGTGATGACAGCCAAACAGGTGATGAGTTTAATCCTTTCTGTGTAGCTGGTTTCCTGGCTAGAAATGAGGTTTGAGGAGATCATTTAAATAGATATAATACATATTTTGCAAAGGAAAAGACTAAGCATGGAACTCTGTGTTATTGACGTACTTATAGTTTCCTAGTATGTCTGCATTAAATTTCATAATTTATTAATTAGTATTTTGTTGGAAACAGAACAAACTCGACTAATGATTGCATTTTTAATTGAATGAATTCAAAGATTTTTAACTTCACGGTAAATATGACCGCACATGACAAATTACTGAGAGTACGTCAGTTATAGAGTTGCGTCAATAATACAGAGTTTGAGTATAAATATATTATCATCTGTTGTATGCAAAAAATTATTGGTATAAGGTTATTTTTGTTAGAATAATTTAAACAATTGTGCTCTCCTTTCCTTTTTTCACTGATCCTTAGAAGTATTGTTTTGAAACTTAAAATACTTGATTATGAATATCACCTCAATTTGTAGGCATTGGAATATAATTCTGTCATTGACTTTAACAAAATTATGCTCAGATAAGTTATTTATCAGCAAAGATATTCTTGTTATTTTCCAGTATTCATTTAAAAAATTAATTGATAATAAAAAAATCTATTATTAAGATGCAAGAGGAGACCAAAAAAGAACTTTTTACATATCATCTATGAGATATTTAAGATGCAGGTTAAAGTTGAATATTAGTATTAAAATAGCGCTAAAATGTTATGATTATAAATCAAAGCTTATATTTAGTTTAATATTTCATTGTTCTTATTTAAATATGTAAATGTTTTACAGTTTTTCAAGTTACAAGATGAGACCCCTGTAAGTCATGGAAGCTGGGTGCTTGCTGAGTGTCCAGCTAGAATAGATATAGCAGGTGGGTGGTCAGATACCCCACCTATAACATATGAACATGGCGGGGCTGTGACCACTGTCGGGCTTCTTATTGAGGGAAAGGTAAGACTCACTGTCTGTCTTAAACTTGTCAGGTAAAAAAGCTTGTTTGCATGATTGCTATGCTCCCCGAAAAATTTCGGGGGAGCATATAGTCGTCGAGTTGTCCGTCCGTCAGTCTGTCCGTCCGTCTCGAATTCGTGTCCGGCCCATAACTTTGTTATTTGAAGTCAGATTTTAAAACTATTTCACAGAAATGATCACCATATTGAGACGACGTGTCGCGCGCAACATTTGAGTCGCTACCTTGAAGGTCAAGGTCACAGCATGACCTTGCAGCAAAATCGTGTCCGGTCCATAACTTCCTTATTTGAAGTTGGATTTTAAAAATATTTCACAGAAATGATCACCATATTGAGACGACGTGTCGCGCGCAACATTTGGGTCGCTACCTTGAAGGTCAAGGTCACAGCATGACCTTGCAGCAAAATCATGTCCGGCCCATTACTTTGTTATTTGAAGTCGGATTTTAAAACTTTTTCACAGAAATGATCATCATATTGAGACGATGTGTCACGCGTAATATTTGGGTTGCTACATTGAAGGTCAAGGTCACAGCATGACCTTGCAGCAAAATCGTGTCCGGTCCATAACTTTGTTATTTGAAGTCGGATTTTAAAATTATTTCACAGAAATGATCACCATATTGAGACGATGTGTCACGCATAACAAGTCGGTCGCTTCCTTAAAGGTCAAGGTCACAGCATGACCTTGCAGCAAAGTCGTGTCTAGCCCTTAACTTCGCTATTTGAAGTCGGATTTAAAAAGTATTTCACAGAAATGATTATCATATTAAGATGACGTGTCACGTGCAACATTTGGGTCGCTACCTTGAAGGTCAAGGTCACAGTATGACCATTCAGCAAAATCGTGTCCAGCCCATAACTTCCTTATTTGAAGTCGGATTTTTAAACTATTTCACAAAAGTGATCACCATATTGAGATGACGTGTGGCGCGCAACATTTGGGTCACTACCTTGAAGGTCAAGGTCACAGCATGACCTTGCAGCAAAATTGTGTCCGACACATAACTTCATTATTTGAAGTCGGATTTTACATCGCTACCTTGAAGGTCAAGGTCACGGCATGACCTTGCAGCAAAATCGTGTCCGGCCCATAACTTCGTTACTGGAAGTCGGATTTAACAACTATTTCACAGAGATGATCACCATATTGAATCGACGTGTCGCATGCAACATTTGGGTCGCTACCATGAAGGTCAAGGTCACAGCATGACCTTGCAGCAAAATCATGTCCGGCGCATAACTTTGTTATTTGAAGTCGGATTTTACAACTATTTCACAAAAATGATCATCATATTGAGACAATGTGTCGTGCACAACATTTGGGTTGTTTTTACACTTTGAACTTTGTCTGTGACATAACTCTGACACAACAAGAGGTATACCTTCCTGTGTCCAAAACCTATTCGGGGAGCATCACCCGGTTCAACCGGCTCTTGTTTTTTATGCCTCCACTTGTGGGAAAGGGGGATATAGATTTGCCCTTGTCTATCCTGAAGACTGACAGACCAGTTGTATGTGGGGAAATGGGTGTCTTTGGAAACTCTTCTAGTTTTTTTTCTCATGATTATCATATTCACACTTTTATGTAACATTGAAATAAACATATAAGAAGCCATAAGAAAAATTGTGTTTAGTTAGAAATAAAGTCAAATTACTATTGTAGTTCTTTTACAAAATGATTTTAAAATTTGCAGGAAGCAAATTATTTTTGAACATCTACATATGGACCATAATTGTATCGCAGTGATTTTAAAAACTGACTAAAATCTTAAGTTTTTATGTAAAGTATCTTTCGAATTGTTTCTTGTACTTATCTCATCAGTTACTGTATATAATACAACATATTGTCACCTTAGTGCAGTAACAGGTAAATTCCTTATATAACTTAATAGGAGTTAACCTGTTACTGCACTAATGTGCTGATACATTTAATGTTTGTTATTGACTATAGAGACCAATAGGGGCAAAGACGAGAAGAATTGATGAGCCAAATCTGGTGCTAGTTTTACACGGTTCATCTGAACAGAAACAAGTAGTGTGTAAAGAAATATCTGATCTAGCTGATTATTATAACCCACATACACCAGGTAATGTTATCTAACTGTCTCTAGTATATTGTCTTATAGCATAATGATCTTTTCTAAATGATTGATATTATTTTCATATATCAGGTAATATAGTTTGGCTATTTAGTTGTTTGTATTGTAAGGTTGTAAGTTAAACTAACACTGTAAAACTGACAATGGGTCTTTAAGGGAGGGTGCTTAAGGTCACTGATTTAAATTCAACTACTATTAACACATAGAGTTCAAATCCTGTCAGTGACTGAATTCTTTCATTTGAGGAAGCTATTCAGCTAACTAGCAGGTCCTACTTTTATATTAGTTACTTTTTGTAGATATTTAAAAATAGTAATTATTTATACATATATGTATACATATTATACTTCAGGTGCTCTATTGAAAGCAGCATTTGTGTGTGCAGAAATTATTGACCTGAAATCCAGTCAGACATTGAAGGAGCAGTTAGAAACCAAGTATCAGGGTGGCTTTGAGTTACACAGCTGGACAAACCTGCCACATGGCTCAGGTAAAATGATACTGGTAGTCCCATAGTTTTATCAATCTTTTATTTAAAGCATAAGAATTTATCCCAGGGTTTTCGAAAGAGGTGACTTAATGACTTCTAATAACTGGAGTCTATGCATCTCTTAGCTCCAGCAGGTGAACCCTGGTTTTGCTTTTAAGTTTGTAACACTTGAGGTTGGTCAAAATTGTCTTTCCGGTTTTGGCACCTTATGACATATACTGTGTTGGTGTACTGTAAAACCAAACAAACTGTGTGTAATGAATTCATTTTTCTATATAAATATGTATTATTTTGTGTATATAGGTTTAGGTACAAGCAGTATTCTAGCTGGTGTTGTCATGGCATCATTACTGAAGGCTGCTGGGAAATCATGTGACACCACCTCTCTCCTTCATGCTGTAAGTAGTCACTCATTTCATATCAAGGGTACATCTTTCTTGATTTGATCAAGTTTGACTTTTGTAGCCAAGTGGTTCGTGTTACTAAACTAAAGTCTCTTGCTGAAGATAGAAGAATTGGCACTTGTTCTACTATCAAGCAAGGAGAATAGTCAAGCAAGCTGTCCTACCAAGATTTGTAAAATTGTTTCATTTAGTTTAAAACAAGCATCATTAAGTTATTTAAATTTGTATTTTTCATTTATTACTGTTTGATCACTGTTTTGATGATGAATTTATATTCATAAATTACTATATCCTACCACTTGCAGGTTTTATACCTGGAACAGCTGTTGACAACAGGTGGAGGCTGGCAGGACCAGATAGGGGGTCTTACTGGTGGTGTTAAACTAGGACTGTCAGAGGCCAAGCTGCCATTATTTGTGGAAGTTGTAGATCTCAAGATAAAACCTGAGATCATTCAGGCATTTAATGAAAGAATTGTGTTGATTTACACAGGAAAGACAAGGCTGGCGAGGAACTTACTCCAGGTAAAGATTGGTTGAGATCATGTATCCACAACACAACATATGTGCTATAAGATACTGAAGAGATCTGAAACATGTACTTGGAAGTTATAACATAATAGTGTTCTCAAATAACCCAAATGTTTCTTCCTATAAAGCTAGTACTGGTTTATTTTGCAACCATTTAATATTTTTATCACAGTCACCAAATTTTATTATGCAACATTAAAGATAAAGTTTTTACAACCCAACATTCCTGAGTTTACCCAGTAAAATACAGTTAACCCTGCCAAAACCCACTGGATTGGTGTTTTACTCTTTAATACCTTGGTTTTTGTTGTTGTTTTTTTTACCTTGATTAGGGGCATTTGTGGTTGGTTGGTTGAGGTAGTTGACTTTAAACCACTTGCCCTTTCATGGCTGTAGGTTCAAAGCCCACCAGGGAATTTGAATTCTCTCATGTGGGAAAGGTTACAGAATGGTGTTGGTTCTACTCGGGTGCCCACTTGTGCCTGAAATAACGCAAAGAAAGAACCATGATTATGTCTCCTTACTATTAATCTGTATTAATAAACTACATATTATAAAGAATACTTAATGGACATTTTAGTGTACTTGTCTTTGTGTTGTAGGATGTTTTAAGAAATTGGTATGCAAGGAATCCCCAGATTGTTGAAACAGAAGATAAATTGGTTCAACTAGCGAAGGATTGTGCTAAATTTTTTCAAGAAGGTATGACAATAGTTTATGCAGTGTTAACATGATTTTTGATCATTAGCAGTCTGGTTAGGATTAGTTATCTAATATCACAGGGGCAATTGTAGGCGAATGGTAAATGTCTTTAACCTCTCACTGGTGGGTTTAAATCCCACCAGGGACTTTGAATTCCTTTAGGCAGTTAACAGCTAGCTACTAGAATGCTATTGGTTCTACTCGAGTGCCTTGTTGAGCCTGCAATAATACACATAGTGGTACCTGAGGTCTTCATCCATTCATTAGTAAAGCTGGAAAGTGGCCATTACAGTTTTGGTATGATCACAAACAAACCTAAAATCACTTTGTCTCATTAATTTGGTTTTCACATCCTTCAAAAAATGCTGCATTGTTTCATTTGAGGAAGATGTCCAGGTAATTATACCCCCAAAAACGAAGTTTGGGGGGGTATATAGGAGTCACCCGGTGGTCGGTCGGTTGGTCGGTCGGTCCAGACGTCCGTTGCATTTTCCTTGTCCGGAGCATAACTTGATAACTAATGGTTGGAATTCAATATAACTACATACAATGGTCAAGCACATTGAGAGGAAGTGCAGTGCACAAGAACCATAACTCTATCTTGACTAATTACAGAGTTATTGCCCTTTGTTACTTTTCCTTGTCCGGGGCATAACTTGAAAACTACTGTTTGGAATTCAAAACAACTTCATACAATTGTCAAACACAATAAAGGGAAGTGCAGTGCACAAGAACCATAACTCTATCTAAAGTAATTACAGAGTTATTGCCCTTTGTTGCTTTTCCATTGCTTTTTTTTTGTCCGTTGCATTTTCCTTGTCCGGAGCATAACTTGAAGACTAATTGTTGGAATTCAATATAACTACATACAATATTCAAGCACATTGAGAGGAAGTGCAGTGCATAAGAAACATAACTCTATCTTGACTAATTACAGAGTTATTGCCCTTTGTTACTTTTCCTTGTCCGTGGCATAACTTGAAAACTACTGGTTTGAATTCAAAACAACTTCATACAATTGTCAAACACAATAAGGGGAAGTGCAGTGCACAAGAACCATAACTCTATCCAAAGTAATTACAGAGTTATTGCCCTTTGTTGCTTTTCCATTGCCTTCTTTTTTTTGTCCAGACCATAACTTGAAGACTAATGGTTGGAATTCAATATAACTACATACAATGGTCAAGCACATTGAGAGGAAGTGCAGTGCATAAGAACCATAATTCTATCTAAAGTATTTACAGAGTTATTGCCCTTTATTACTTTTCCATTGCTTTCTTTTGTCCGGACCATAACTTTAAGACTAATTGTTGGAATTCATTATAACTTCATACAATGGTCCAGCACATTGAGAGGAAGTGCAGTGCACAAGAACCATAACTCCATCTTGACTTATTACAGAGTTACTGCCCTTTGTTTCTTTTCCATGTCCAGAGCATAACTTTAAAACTACTGGTTGGAATTCAAAACAACTGCATACAATGGTCAAGCACAATAAGGGGAAGTGCAGTGCACAAGAACCATAACTCCATCTTGACTAATTACAGAGTTATTGCCCTTTGTTTCTTTTCCATTGCTTTCTTTTGTCCGGACCATAACTTGAAGACTTATTGTTGGAATTCATTATAACTTCATACAATGGTCAAGCACATTGAGAGGAAGTGCTGTGCATAAGAACCATAACTCCATCTTGACTTATTACAGAGTTACTGCCCTTTGTTACTTTTCCTTGTCCACAGCATGACTTGAAAACTACTGGTTGGAATTCAAAACAACTTCATACAATGGTCAAGCACAATAAGGGAAGTGCAGTGCACAAGAACCATAACTCCATCTTGACTAATTACAGAGTTATTGCCCTTTGTTACTTTTCCTTGTCCAGAGCATAACTTGAAAACTACTGTTTGGAATTCAGTACAACTTCATACAGTTGTCAAGGACATTAAAAGGAAGTGCAGTGCACAAGAGCCATAACTCCATTTTGACAAAATACAGAGTTACTGCCCTTTGATACTTTTCCTTGTCCGGAGCATAACTTAAAACGTACTGGTTGGAATTCAAAAAACTTCATACAATGGTCAAGCACAATAAGAGGAAGTGCAGTGCACAAGAACTATAACTCTATCTTCAGTATTTATAGAGTTATTGCCCTTTGTTCTTTTTCTTTGTCTTTCTGAACTTATTACAGAGTAATTCAATTAAACTTCATCAATGGCCAACCACATTCAAAGGAAATGCAACATACATGAACAACAATTATCTTTAATTGCCCACAACCATAACTCTATGTTTCAATTCTTTTACAAGGTATTCTGTTACTAGTAACATCCTCATTTCCAAAGCAGACTTGTGGGGGTATTAATCACATTTAGTGATAGTTCTAGTTTATGTAAGGTTGGTAACTATATCTAGGATGCATTCTCTTACTAGAAATAATGTACAGAGGACACAAAGCTAGAGTCTTGCAGTGCAACTTAACCTTGGTATAATTCTTGTAATCTAGATTTACTGCATTATTTTAGATTTCTGATAATGCAGAGACATAACATATAATATGGAAGATAAATGTAAATTATAGGTGCTTTGGAGAAAGTGGGTGAATGTATGGACAAGTACTGGCAGATGAAGAAGACAATGGCGCCTGGATGTGAACCAGAATTTGTCTCTAAGATCATGTCAGCTGTACGCCCTCATGCCCTCGGTATGTGTATGGCAGGAGCCGGTGGAGGGGGTTTCATGTACGTGCTCGCACGAGACCATGAGAGTCAGAAGAACATCAGAAATTTAATAGACAGCATGGAGGTATGTACATGTTTTAATGTGTTCCTTTGATAATTCTGTTCTCAATTCTTTTTGTTCAGGGGTCTTGCTGAAATTTGATGTCAACAGTATTTGCTCAAATCTATCAAATATGATGTACATGTATTGTGGTAATATCCATAAGCTAATGTGAAACCTTAACCTCTTATTATGTGTGTAATGGACTACTTAAATTTAGAATTTCCATTGTTCATGGCATTTCTAGTGCAGAATTAGTATTCAGCAGACAATATGGCATGTACTAGTCATAGTCATGATCATGGCAAGTGCTCAGGGTGTTAAATGTGAACAAACAAATAAGATTAAACCCAGCCTTAAAACATTTTCAATTTTATCATTTTGGTTGTTATACAGGTTTCCATTTTTCTGTTTTTGAGAAAAATGTTTATCTTAAACTTTTCTAAATCCTCATGTTGTTTTTTATTGAAATCTGTCAAATAAAGTTGTTTCTTTGTATAACACTAGTGTGACAAATAAATGAAATTTCAATTTTTTCATGCTAAGTTTACATTTACAAACTCCTGACATTTTTTCATAAAATATTAAGCATATAGATTTGAAGTTACGTGTATTTAGTAAATGTTTATAAGAAAATGTAATGGTTTATGATTATGTACTGTATCAAAATTCCCATATTTTGTTTTATTTGTACTACTTGGACAGGACATAATGATACTATTGATATTATATTACAGAGTAGTGATGGAACGAAGGTATATGATACATGTATAGATGAAGAGGGACTCAATATAACTGTGATCGAGGAGGACGACGGCTCACTTACTGTGTCCGAGGTCGACGAGGATATGCATGACTACTATAATCAACCTGAAACTCTGTTAGAAGATATACCGGAAACCACAGAACCTGTGCCGGTTGTGGTCGGCATTCCCCTCATTGACGCTGATGGCATATCCATGGCAACAGGTGGCGCTCCACTTGGAGCAACAGAGGAGATAAGTGATGCTAAAGTGCCGGAGGTATCCGGTATAACTGGATCAGGTGACGGTGATGGTGTAACCATGACAACTGATGATGTGACAGCATCAGGGACAAGCGAATTACCAACTGCGGGACTTTCAGCTAATACTCTAGCTGCATTAGATAAAGCCAAAGATATGCAGAAACAATTAGATGAATTCTTCAAACAAGGTCGAGAGCAAAAATGTCAAGAAGAAACAGTTGAAGATGAAAGTTCATGAGAATTTTTTATGGATGATATTATTAAACACCATATCTTGAATCTACAAAAGGATTTTACAAATTTTCACATTTTCAATTTTGTTATTCAATTTTAACTTTTCATTTCAGAATATGAATAAGGTTTTTATCTAACTGAAATAATCTAAAAAGTACCTGTTTGCCAACTTTTTAGAAACTTTAAAGATTATTTTATCCTTGATAAGGTTGTGTTTAGAAATATTTTGTGCTGTACATTTGATATAAGAGATCTATTTTGTTAGGGGAAAATATTGTAAGGGGTCAAGGGTAAAGGGGTCTAGGGTAGTTGTAAGGGTACTTTTTGATAATTTTTAATGATAATCTTTATGTTGTTTTATAATGATAGAAAGGCAAAAAAATATTTAATTTTGAAAAAATAAATGTTTCTTACAAAATATTAAAAAATGCATTAGCTTTCTTCAAATATTAATAAATTTGTTAATTCTACATGAAAGTGCCAAAAAAAAAAGGAAAAGAAGAGAGAATGTGGTGTTAGTTGTGGTGTTAGTTGGATATTATTTGTTGATTTCCAAACAAGCACTTTTCATTATTCAGTCAAAATGTCTGCAGCGTATTTTTGTGTAACTTGATGCATATTTACAGCATTATAAGTGACTTAAGATTATTTTTTTATTAATGTTTTTAAAAGTTGTTTTTTTTTCATTTAAGATGTACTAACACAAAACCTATGCAAGTTGTGCCTTAAAATATTTGATATAAGATGTGTGTTTTTCCCTTTGTTCATGATTTACAATAAGTTGTTTTTATTATGCAATACGTTTGTAGTTTGTTTACTTGCGTTTGGTATAACTTTATTTGCTCATCTGTTTCAAAGAAAAAATTGAGCTATTATGATTGCATTATTGCAGCAACCTTGTCGTCATCTTTGTTGCCATGCAAAAACTTTATTGTAGCCCTTTATTCAAACATTTTAAAAAATAACTTTAAATTGTTATACAAGGGACATAATTCTGAAAACAATATTTTTGGAGTATTGCCCCTTTTTAACTTAGAATTTTTAACAGTTTAACATATATGCATTGCTCCACTAACATCAAGTATTTATGCATCTGTGGTTTTTACATACAAGTATTTCAGCACTTTTCATATACTGTAACAAATGATTTTGGTTAATCATACTGACACGATTCAAGGATTAACTCCCCTTTCACACTTGTCGGCTAATGTCTAACTATAATAGTTAATGATTTAGTATATTTGATATACATGTATTTTAAAGGGACTCGTCTTTAAATTTTTGACATGACAGGACTGGAAATAATTTTTCGAGGTTAATATTCTAGGTGATGTAGGTCTCGACAAATTACTGTGTGCAAAATTTCAGATCGGTATCTACATGAAACTTGGAAAACTTGCTTATCATGACCATTTCAATGCTTTTCAATTAATTTGGGCTAAAAATAACACAGAAATGACTTTAAGTTAATTTCTGAGTACATTTCTTAGTTTTCTATGGCATATCTTTCTGTTTTAATACCTCAGCTGATCTTTGTAAGAAATTCAAATTTTTGTACTTTTTGAGTTTTGGACTTCAGTGGTGTTCCTTTAATACAAGTTGCTCTTCTAAATTTATCTATGGAAGAAATGTGATGACATGCATGCTATATTTTTGTATCACATGTACTTATACTTTGGAATGTTTGTTGTTTATCACAATCATCATTGTTTATCACAATCATCATTGTTTATCACTGCCTTGCCTGCTTATTTGTCCCCTAACGGTTTAATTGGATGGGACTTTAGGTTTACCCTCCTTCCGTCCGTCAATCTGTTCATTCATGTCTTCCACAATGGCATAATTGAATGGCCACGGCTTTTCAGAATGCTACTTATGTTCTAACCGGTAGTAGTACAGTCCCTGAGGACCTTTTGTGTGCAAAAAAGGTCCATAGATAAATGTTGTACTAATGTAAAGCTATACGTTTGAAGTTTACAAAAAATTTGGGTAGACATGTCAAATCATGGTACGTTTTGAGAAATCCAAGATGGCCGCCAAGATGGCCGCCAAATTATTGAAAAATGGCTAATAAGCAATTTATATGATAAAATTAGTTCTTTTTTGTATTTATTTTGGTACAGGTGATGTTAAAACTTCACATCCTATTGGAACAATATGAAAATGGAGGCATTTCCATTATTTTTTTCATATTCTCTGAATTTCATAGATAAATTTGCTAAAAAATGCATGAAAAAATTATCAAAAATTGATATGGGGCTGACATTTTTTCCTACCAGCTAAGGCATAGCGGTTTAAATGAATTTTTTTACTATATACTACAAAGACTTGAACAAGATCATACTAATATCACCCTTATTTTTTATCTTTATTGTAAAAGAATGTGGATTCTGATATTCTTAAAGTGGGTGGGGTAACGAAAACTAAGTCTCAGTATTTTGTTTACTGGTTTGTTATGATAATTAAAACTATGAATAGTCAACATGTATTGCACTTTGGCATGTACCTAAAGTTATAAATAATTAAAAAACTTAGACTGATATTTTGTTTATCAATATTCAACATGTTCTGTTGCCATGGCAACGGAGAAGTAAAATGAAAGACACACCTGAAACGTGACACTTTCAACTTTTAGCATTTTAAGCATGTTGTTAAGAATTACACAAACTTATAGATAAATAATCTGTGCACAATGCCATGGTAACAAATTGAAAAAAAGTGTAACATTAAAAGAAGTCACATTTATTTCTAGCAAATTATCAACACAGATAACAGCCGATATTTTGAAATTAGATGAATATATTTATTTCAAGAATGTGCATCATGCATTTGCTTTTTTCAAACTGCTATACATAGAAAAAGGTCATGTCAAATGTGAATGTTGTTATGTTTGGAAAGGATAATTAATGGTGATAATAATAAGTAAAAGGCAGTCTTAAGGTAGAAATGTATATAAACATTATCAAAGGGTAAAAATTTAAGACTTTGCAGCTAAAACGAGAAATAAATAGGTCACTGTTTCAAATTCTAGGTCAACCAATATCAAATTTTAATGACAATCGAATTTATAGTTGAGTTCAAACTTTTTGGTTGTAGCTTGTATTATGAAATTCTAACTTGCATTAGATAAAATTCTAGGTCAACTGATCTCAGTGTATAATTCTGCATCTGAAATTTTACAATCAAAATACAAAGAGATCATTAGAACAGATTAAGGTCAGCTAGCATGTCATATTGTATCTGTTATCCAAATATCTTTAGCTTCAAAAACAAGAAAGTAAGTCACGAGGTCTTAAAATATGATAAACGAGATCAACAAGGAAAGGCGGCGTTCAATGAACGCAACCCCCATAAATTCTAGGTCACCTTATACCAGTGGGGCCATGATTTAAACAATCAAAGAGGAACACAAGACAATTCTTCCAACCAAATGGTCTTACATTGTGGTTTCTGACATAAAGAGTTTTTTATGTAAAAATCGACATCTAGGCAGAGCCATTTTTATGCTCCACGAAAAATTATGGGGGAGCATATAGTCGCCGGGCGTGTGTCCAAAACCTAGTCGGGGAGCATCACCTGGTTCAACCGGCTCTTGTTTTAATCCAGACTCATGATCATTGTTTGATGCCTACAAACTTAGCACTTTTCGGAGAGTGTCGGATGTGAAGTCCAGGCATCTCTTGTTCCACAGACAACAATTGATCTCGGACATTGAGTTTTACGGTCATTTGTCTGTCAAAAAAGTTAGTACCGTAGCTAAGTTGAAATTGGTCATTACTCTACTGGTTATTTATCCATGAAAGTCAGATAGTTTAACCAACCTTCAAGCTATCAACAAAGAAGTGTTGAAATTGGCGTATAACCCAGACCCGGCCCTTTCATGATTTGTAGAAACATGGTAAAAGTCTTCTAGAAATTGTTTCACATGCTCTAAACAATGGGGTTAAAGGGGTGATTTTATAAAGGATTTCATATATATGTGTATTATTACTATTATATGATTTATATCGTGACATAAATTGATATGGTAATAGAATGAATGCTTCATACTTAAATATCAAAGCAATTTATTTATGGAGAAGAAAGTTTTCAAAGCCTTTTCTTTATAACAGAAAGTAAAATGACTCCTGGGGTTATGTCAACTTTGATCAGATTGTCAAGATTTGAAAAATAAATTAAGTTTTTTTTGACAATGCTTTTAACCCAAAATCTAAGATCTGGGCATTTGGTTTTGGAAAAAAATATGATTTTAAAAAGTTTTCCAATGTGTCTCCATATGAAATAAGTTGACCCTAGGGGTGGGTTAAATTTTCATTTGAATAAATTTTGTACTGGTCTATACAAGGCTACAACAGAAATAATTAGCTATAGGCATCGGTTTGGGAGAAGTTATTTTTTTAGCTTTTCCTATATGTAAATTGAAGTGACCCCTGGCATAAATGAATTTGACCACAAGGTCGTGATTTAAGCAAATTTAATAGTATTATATCCTGCAGTTATGGAGAAGAAAATTTTCATGTTTTCCTATATTTACACTGTGTAAAGAAAGTTTACTCCGGGGCTTCGCAAGAAACATGAATGTGTACTTCTTGACCTTTTACCAACCAAGACCTTGATGTTGTGTCATGCATATCATAAGCACATAGTCTCACGATGGCGATTATTTGTGCCAAGTTATTTAAAATCTTCCATAAAGTCAAAAGTTATGGATTACATATAACCTTGACCTTGGTTGCAGCGACCTGGATGTTGAGGTCTGTAGATTGTGTCGTGGTGGGGATCATTTGTGCTAAGTATTTTAAGTATTTTTAAAACCTTTAAATTGTCAATAAGTTATAGAGCGGACATGAAAAAAAAGTTTTTACATTGGACCGTTGAGTGTGACCCTGACCTTCAGGGTTGGGACTTGCTTATTGTGCTCTGCCAATGGTGTCATAATGTTGATCACTTCTGCCAGTTTATCTCAAATACATTTCAGAGGTTTAAAAGTTAGAGACAGACGCGAAATGTAGACTTTCTAACATATAAACTGTAAGTGTGA